CAAGAAATATAATCGACAAAGGAAACAAAATAAATTTAAATCTACATTTTTGTTTGGAACCAACATATTTACAAATTTCAATAAGCTCTATCTTTGCGAAAAGTTGACCGATTTCAATGATTTTTTTCCCTTTTATAGACAATTGAGTAATGTTTTATATAATCCTAGGAATAACCAAGAGAAAAGTGTGTAATTTTTTAGTTATTCGCAAATAAAGTTTTTTTTCTTTCATAACTTGTTTGCCTGAATTTTCTGGATGATTGGACTATTTGCCCGCCTGAAGGAGAAGGAAGCCTTCGAAATTGGTGGCTCAATCTTGAGATTTGGTGAAGAATTAACGATGATATGGCTTACCGATCAAAAACACCATCGATAAATAATATAAACTCCTCCTCTCTCGATCATAGAGACCTTTAGTCGACGAAATGAGACATGTATCTAATACCAGTACTACAATCAACGTCAGGTTGTGTGGATGCGAACCCTATGCCTGGCGTTATCTCGAAAATAGTACGTTTTTGGGCTTAAAAACGCAGGATCCGATAGTTCCGGAGAAACCATCAGGGTCTTGGTGTGCGCATCAAAATCTTCAAGGTCCAATTTGTCCCGCATCGATATACAGACCTACCACCGCTCCAGTATTGAAGGGTAGCATGTTTTTTTGTATCGACTTTATTTATTTTAGAAAGAAAAACAAAAGCGGAGAATACGATTCGCTAACCCACTGTGAAATTCTGAATCCAACGGTACCCTATTCATGGTACTTGAGCATGACAGGAGCTTATATTTGGTACAAAACCGATTTCGAGCCTTACTCTGTATTTTTCCTCCTATATTAGGTAAATCAAGACGTGAGACATGAGACATGTATTGCACTGTCCCGAAAATGGTATCCTCGGAATTACCAGGTCTTCTTGCACGCATCAAAATCTTCAAAACACAATCTGTTTCGTATCGATCTACAGACTTACCACCGTTCCAGTATTGAAGCCTAGCAAAATGTTTATATCGACTTTATTTATTTTAGAAAGAAAAACAAAAGCGGAGAGTACGATTCGCTAAACATCCGCGGTAATTTTGAATCCAACGGTACTCCATTCATGCATTTGAGCACGACAGGTTATATTTGGTACAAATCAGCTTTCGAACCTTAGTGTAATAATATACCTATATACCTTTTTAAAGATATTAAGATATTTTTTTTTTCATAAAAACGACGATAATTACTTTGGAAAAAAAGAAAGAAACTATCTATATAAAATGGTGTTTAAGTGATTCCTTAAGCCCTTTTAAATGTAATTACACGAACAATAACACTTTAAGAGATAATTTTTTAATATATTTTTCCATAAAACACGGTTATATTTTACCATTTTGGGGGAGGCTTCAGCCCGAAAGCCCCCCTCCCCTAAATCCGCCCGTGTTAAGATGTGAGTAAGCTTTCTGTATTTTGTCCATTTAATGTGGTAACGAAATTTAGTCCATTAATTAATTGCAGCATTATATTATCAATGTTATTCTTATATCTAAATCGAACTTCACTTCTGTTCCAAAAGAATTTCAGAGTATTTAATTTTAGCTCAACTTGTAAGTATTTAATTTTATTTAAAGTAATTTATAATATCTTCAGTATATATCGAATAAGATGTAGTTATCTATCGATTAAAACGGTATCAATATCAAATTATAAATTATAATTAAATAATAATTAATTCATTATCGTTCCCATTCATACTACACAATAGAGTAAATGTTTACAACACAATACAATGTTTACTTATAAAAATCTTAGCATTCAATACTACATTTTTATTCCACAATGAATATACATGTTTTATCAGTGTTCCTTCCTATAGTGTTAGCTTCTAAAACATTTCAACCTGAAACATGCGAAAGGTAAATGTTATTAAATTATGATAAGAATTATCTATCGCCACAAATAGAAATTGCGTTTTGAATGAAGCACTTTGAAAACAGGAAAAAATTCGAACTTTCCTACAGATAATAGGTTCAACCATTTCAAATTACCCAACTATTACTATTATACGACGAGTTCGAAATTAAGGTTAAACATTCTTTCTGGATAGCACTTGTTTATTTTCGGCCATTTTGAATTTGATTTTGAATTGAAAACAAGTATTCGAAAATCTATAATAATTCATCGAAGATCTATTTTGTAGATGCCACAACAAAAATTATAAGAAGAGACCGGATTTCCATGTTATTGAACATTTTATTCGTTTGTTTATAAAAAAACTTCAAACCCGGATACCTGTCCATTTTACGATCTGTTGAATAACGTATTGAAATTTAATATTGCACGTTTTGCTGTTTTAGGCTTAAATTGCACGTTTTTTATTATGTTTGCACCAGAATAGATGATTTATAAATATAAATATACCTGTTGGCCTTGCGAATAATTCCCAGAAAATTTTGTTTAGTAAAGAAATAGAAAAACAATATGGAAATAAGTAGATCCTATGTATTATGTGAGGGAGGAATTAATATTTTTCCTTGGTCGATTACAATATTCCATTTAACATAATACACCAACATATTTTTACAAGTTGTTTTGCTATGACTTGCGTTTGTGTAAATACTTACTTTTTATATTACTGTATTGTCCATGTTAAATTTATAATTTAATATAGAAAAATATGAGAAAGGGACTGAAGAGACACAAACAAAAGGGAAATATTCTTGGAATAGAACTTATCTAAAGTATTAGGTAACAATAACTTCCTAAAATAATCTGTTTTGTTAGAAAGACGTCAAATATTTTCAAATAACTCAATTCTCAATAATTCTTCAGCCCTTCAGGATCCCTTTCGGCTTTGAAGTGAATTGAAGTTATTTCATTATTATTAAAAAATGAATAATGGCGATAGGAGAATCTCGATCTAGTACAGAATATCTAGAATTTGGTCAAAAATTAATATCTGGATACCAATTACCCCGAGTTGAATTTTGATGGGAAAATTGTCGTATGTGCGGCGTACGAAAAATCAATCTGGTGTGATCGGACATCGCAGCTAGACACTCATTTTAGAAAAGGTATACAAAATATTTCTATTAATGAATTTAATTTTGTGAGACCCGATATTTTAATATTTGTTTATTGATCTATAAAACAGAGTAGTTCTAAAGTTTTCTAAAAATTCTAAAGGAATTTTATTTTCAATGTTGTATTTTAATTTTTTTTAGCTTAATACAATGTTTGATATATTAATACAGATTTCGATACATTAAATTAAACAACGTTTTTAGTTTTTAAATTAAATCACGTTTTCAATCGTAAAATACATATTTTTAGATATTTACTTGGTTACTGCACGATTTTGCACATTTTGAGCTTTTTGCTGCACATTTTTTGATTTATACTGCACTAACGTCCGGTCTCTAATTATGACTATGATGACCTCTAAATTTGTTGTCCTTACAGTGAATCACAAAAAAAATTAATGGACAGAGACTCAAATTTGATTTTTAATCTTTTATATTCCTATTATTTAAATTTATTATCTCAAACGGGGCCGATAAAAAAAATATATGGAATGATTTATACCAATTTATGACATAAAATTTCTTTTCCTTTATAAATTGTTTCCTGAAATTTCGAGTGGATGTGATTATTTTTCTCACTTCAATGAGAAGAAAACATTCAAAATTATGACGCAATAATTGGATTTAATGGAGAATTAACGAAGATTTAGCGTACCGAAAAAAAAAACCTTTCAGAAATAACATTAAAAAAATAATTGCTGAAATTAAAGCTAATGCAAATCTACTTCTTCACTGTCAACCCGCTTCAAGATTTACATCCCTACTCTTTAAAGAAAAAAATATCTAGGTTATATATATATTGATATTTTTTTTTTTTTTAATTACTCTTTCAATATTTTTTAAAAATATCAAAAGGAATTACATCGTTGTTTTTTCGATATTTACGCGCTTGCAAGAGAATGTATCGGTATCTCTTTTCTATTTAAGCTCTTAACAATCGATATCATAATCGAATTTTGATTTGAAAGAAGGTGTTTATTGTTACTTAAAGAAAAGACAATTACATATATATATATATATATATATATATATATATATATATATATATATATATATATATATATGATAAGATATAATATAGAACAACAGGTCACAAACTAATTCAGAATAACTAATTTTGTTGGTCGTAATCTCTAAAGCATGTGTTTACATTATTTGCAGAAAGAAATTGTGAAGGCATTTGTTTTATTACCACTATAAAAAACGGCTCTGAAGGAGTCTCTCCATTTTGTAATCTCCACACTTACCGGAAATTATCAGGTCAATAAAACACGAAATAATTCAACAATACATTGTTAACAATAGTCAATACTTAATTTTTGTTTAAATTTATTCTTTTAAATTTACAATGCTTCAGTGCTATTGTATCTAGGTTGTTGCAGATATATGCTGCAATACATTAACTTACCTTACGATTAAATGATACATTTATGATACATACATTTAATTTTGTCTGCGAATTAAAACATTATATGTTGGGATATCCATATTTTACTATCACAACCCTTTTCATCCATACAAGTTATTTTATCTCGTTTTCAACTACTTTTCATTTTATAATTTAAAGGTTTTTTAGGAGTGACTATTTTCGAGGAAATCTTCATTGTACGAAACAAAAAAAAAATAATAAAGATAGAAATAGCAATCGAACCATTCTGTCCGTTTACCGTAGTAGACTCGTTGACAGAACGACGTCTAAAACGGGTTTTTCGGTCTTGGAAATTCAAAGATATGTCGAAAACCGAATACCGAAAATTTAATCCAATCATAATATGGAGCTAGACGATAGTGGTAAGAAAAGTAAAAAAAAAAATACAACATTAATTACGTTTCACTTGGCTTATCACTGAAAGATAATCATCGTTACCCCATTTTATATAATAAATACAACAATATCGAAAATATAAATTGCCATTCAAAAATCTGTTTATTTTCAGTGACATATATTGCAGAGGAAGATTACTTCATGATGTTCAAATGTCAAGAATTTTTTCAGACTCTAAAACATTTGTGGATAAAACAATGAAATATCCACCAAATACAGTAAGTTATTTATCATATTAGTTTTAATTATTTAAATTTTAATGATAATACTGTAAGGCTTATAGTATTAATTATTTGACTGTAGGACGTTAGAATCGTCTAAACAAAGGCCAGTACAAACTTAAAATACTTTAAAAGCTTTGCAATATTTCGGTAAAAACACGTAGTACGGATTTATATATTCATTCTACAAAATTTTCCTGGATTTTTAAATGATTTTATGTAATGCTCAAACACTTCTTCCGTCTGATTTCACTTCAATACGTGACATTTCCTGCAATCGAACTTAAGCTCATTTAATTTTACATTATTTTAATCAAAATCAAGTTAATCAAAATCGATACAAAAGTACTCTGCAAATGATTATACAACAAGCTGGCCGTGCAGATAATTAGCAAAGAATATTTGTCAGTGATAAATGAAATAATACAATGCATCATAAGATGGATAAATCAATTCCTATTTTCTCGGTAATTGTAATTGACAAAACCTGTACCACTACAACCCATGAAGGGTCTTGCTTGGATTCAGTACAATGTGAGGAAGTACTGTTACAAGGCCAACGGTTGTGCAGGGAGGTGACGGGCCAATATCACGCTCAATCGCTAGATTTTCTCCCTTAATTATTTTTTTAATTAAGGATATCCACTTTATAGAGGCTGGATTTGCCCAAGGAGGGTCTCCCGATTCCAGGGTCGATCCACGGCTTATGAAAAATTACTAGTCATTAGCCGGATTCGAACCTAGGATCTTGAGCTATGGAAGTCAGTGTTCACCCACTGAGCTACCCCGCTCCAATTGTAATTGACTAAGGAAATGAAAAAAATTGTAATTGACAAAGGAAATGAAAATTAATGGAAAACTCCATAAATGTTCTGAACCAACGTGTTTACAGATTTTAATAAGCTGTATCTCTTCTAATAATAGTCCATTTTTTTTCGTTTTGTAGAGAATTTAGAAATCTTTTAAATAACCATGGGTGTAATCAAGAAAAAAAGTATATACTTTTTGTGTTATTCACAGATAAAGTTTCTTTTCACTCATAACTTTTTTCCTGAAAATTTGGAGGAAGGGGTGACTATTTTTCCCTCCTGAAGGAAAAGGAAAACTTCAAAATGATTACTCAATCTTGAGATTTGATGAAGAAATTAACGAAGATATGCCTTACCTACAAAAAAAAAAAAAAAAAAAAAACAGAAACCTCAAGTCGACGACATGAGACATGTATCCCATGGCAGCATTAACTCACATTACTTACTACGATTAACGGGAGGTCGTGTGGCTGGGATCTCGTTATCTTGCATTATCTCGAAAATGGTACATTCTCTGACTTGAAAACGTAGGTTATTGGTGTCCGTATCAAAATCTTCAAATCCCAATTTGTCCCGTGTCGATCCACCATCTTTCCATCGTTCCAGTATTGAAGCCTAGCGAAATGTTTATATCAATTTTATTTATTTTAGAAAGAAAATCAAAAGCAGGGAGTACGATTTGCGAACCTCTTGTGAAATTCTGAATCTAACGGTACCCCATTCATGGCATTTGAGCATTACAAGAGCCCCATATATGGTACAAAGTCCATTTCGAGCCTTACTGTAATAATATATGAGGGGATGGTTTATTAATTCCAAACAATTATGTAGCAAAAGTAACACTACATTTCTTTTCACATAGAGGAAAATAAATAAAAAGTGATTCCTAAAATAGGCCTAAATAAATTTTCTTTTTTCATCGTTAGTAATTTTCTAATTAATATTGATTACAATCTCGATTGCTTAGGCGATGTAAAATTTCATAAAAATAAAAACATAGGATATCAGTTATGCAGCAGAAGTTGTGTAAAATATTCAGAACAATGTATTTTTGAAGTGAATCGTCCGATTCATTTTTTTTTTGGAAATTTTGTAAAAATTGTAAATATCATATACAACAACCGCCATCATGAAAGAAGAGTACTTTTCGGTAAGATATGTCATTTATTTAAATTTAAGATCTTAGAGGATAAGACATTGGCCAAGTTTCATTAAAATTGGTACATTAGTTTAGGCGCTACAGTCTATGGCGACAGTTTTTTCGGCAGCTATCTTGAAAGGAAGGGGCGAATGGTAATGCTGGATTCCGAGGATCATTCTCGGGTGCCCGAGTCTCAAAACGATCGGTCCAGTAGTCTCGAAGAAAAGCCGTGTACGGCATAATGGTACGGCGGATGGATGGATTTTTTTTTTCCATTTTATGATTCTAAATGTCTTGAAACATAAAACCTAAAATTTTGAGGGAGGGATAACCTTATATTTTTCTTGGTCGATTAAAAAGGTTGATTATTTAAAATTATAAACCAAAAGAGCCAATAGCTCAAAAAGAATGTCCTTGGGCGTGTGGGAGTGCGCATGAGTGGGATTTTTGCTAAAATCAACTTACCTGAAGAGCCACTTAAGATTTTACACATTTTTACATTTTCTTGAAAATAGCTTTTATAATTTCGATAGGGGTAGTCTCGCATACTTTAACCAATTAGAGAAGCAGAAAAAGAAGAGGGGAGGATATTTAAATAAAAATATTTTTGAATGGAACAAGGGAGTTTGAGGGATTCTATTCGGAAAGTTCATCCCAGTCTGGAAGAGATTCGGTTAAGAAATTCCCTGGAGGCAAGTTGTCCTGTAGAGGAGTCTGAAAGAAGATGTTTGTCCAGTGGAGAGGTCAGATGAAGCTACTGATAACAGAAGTTGGAAACATGCTTAACAAGGAAGAAGGAACTGGCTGCTAGGAAGATGGAGGAAAAAATCAAGAAGGTGCATGGAGATGATAGCGGCACCGGAGACCTAATGAAGCAGAAGATTTCATCATATCCCCACAATAAACAGGTAAGTCATAATAGGGGGTGGGGTGGACTGGAAACCTGATAACCGAAGTTAAAGACGATAAAATAATAACGGAGTTCGCGTCCAGGTGCCTGGGGAGACTTTTCTCACTGGCACTAATCCCCCGCCCTTACCTCTGGAAAAACCTCCGCATGGCCTAAAAGGCGATGAAGAGGAGAACAAGGAAAAAAATAAAATAAAAAAGGTATCATAATATCCATTTACGTATTATTCATCATTCCTACTTAGGTAAATCTGTCTTGACAAGCTATAAAATAATAGAGTGATTAGTCTTGCTATAACAACTTCAATAACTTCAATGCAATATTCACAATGTATTTATGATGTTTAAAATAACAAATAGATCTTTTTGGTTTATTATTTTCAATAATGAACCATTGTGATCGACCAAAAAATTCAAAAACTTAACCCCTTCTCAAAATTTGAGGTTTTCAGGGTTTTTGAGAGTTTCAGAATATGTAGAATTCGAAAAACGAAACGAAAAAAGAATAAAAAATATTTTGTCTGTCCGCTGTCCAGCCATTTTCTCCGAAACTGTGCTGCTTGTAGGGCGAGGTGGCCGAATGGACTAATAATAACGCGTGTGCACAGCACCACCGTTGCCCGGCAACCTGATATATGACAAATGTCAGAAAAATAGTCACGAGTTGGCGTTCTGGTGCCAAGGCGTCTTTTAAATCCTCGCCCACACCTCCTGGCCAAAAAAAAAAATAAATAAAAAAGACAGGGCCTGAGTTTGTGCGGGTGCAGTGATATGAACATCTGAGCATATGACATTCTTATATTTACAGTTCTAGAGGGTTGTCTTGGTGGCCGGGATGTCCGTTCTTCTCTTGGAGCTGCGTAAATTCTTGCTTTCAATTCCTTATATGTTTGGCAACCCTTGTAGTTCGCAGGGTGCCCTTGATAATAAAGCCATAAAGCGCATACTGCTGGTGTTCTTCTGGACTTCTTGCAGTCCTCTGTTTTATGTTGATCACCGCACCTGACACATGTTGGAATGTGGTGGAAATCGTGTTTAGTATGACCATAACCCTGACAGTTATGGCATTGAACAATGTCGCGCTTAGGGTAGGGCTTTTCTACAACAACTCTAGTGTAGTAAAGACATGTGACTTTGTAGATATCTTCGACCCCTGGCGACCGTTCAAGATCAACGAAGAATAATAGTAGGGGTCTTTAATTTTTTACATCAGATTGTTCTTTATCTTCTTTAAAAATGTGTACTATTTGTCGAACATGGAATCCCATCTCAGTTAGTTCTTCTTTAATGTTGATGGGTGTAATCTCCTGATCACCACCCTGAGCGCTCTCTCATGGCGCAGCTGATGCGTATGATAATCCGCCTTAGTGTCATAAATACTGGACAATTTTTCTGTAGGTATCTGGAGTGTCAGGCATTAATTTCGTGTGATTAGTGCGGCTTTGGCATAAGTATTTACCTGAGCCTACTATATTATTTAATTGTAGACACATTAATTGAATTTTTTTTATATTTCTAACGAATATTGGTGGAGGTTTAGGTTCACTAGGGGTGGGTACTGCTTCTATTTGTTCATTCTTTGTGTTTGACAGCACTTGGAATGGATTAAATGTAAAAAAAAGGGCGATTCTTCTAACGTACCTTGTATTGGCATAACTTGTGTTGACATGTTTTGTGTTGATGTTTCGGGTTGATTATCGACTTCCTCTACTGCGCACTCTGATGTAGCTGGCGGGTTTTTTTTTTTTTTTTTTTTTTTTAGAGTGTATAGCCCTTTTCTTGATAGGTGAACTCTTTGTGGTATCGAGACTCCTAGATCTTAAGTTGGATTTTTACTTTTGCTCGACATTACCATGTGAAAATAGCGCATCTCGTGTTAGAGGTAAATGTAATAATTTGCAAAAAATGTTCTTTATCAATTACGTATATATTACGCGAGTTTCTAGAAGTCTGAGTAACATAGACCTGCTTCCTCCAAAGGGCAGCAGCCCACTGTTGGGATTAACGAATTTATATGGCCGGCTTGTTATCTATCATTAACCTCAGGTCTATTTACACTGTTCACAATGCCGTTATAAATAAGTGATTAATCACATTATTTATTTCCAGTTTCAACTTAATTCTTAACTTAGCAGTTTACACTACTTTTTCACATATAACATGAATTATTTCACTGTTAATAAAGTCACTTTATAAGAGACAAAATGAAGAATGTACAACTAGGGTTAACGCATGCGCAGAACTCACTAATGATTTAAAAAAAAGTTTAGTCCAATAATTGGAAACACCTTTTATTTATTTTTATTTATAATTAGGAAGGTAATGTTACTTTAGATGTAAAATTGTTTGGAAATAATAAACCATTGTGAAACAATTTGCAGCGTTATTTATTTGAACTTGAGATTTAGCCTTTCTTCTTTCATTATTTTCATTTAGATCTAATAGTTAATTGGTAACACGATACTCTTGAAAGGGATATCTTATATTAACTATAATTCAATCTAGTATACCACAGAAAGGGGGTCTGTGGTATTCAGTATTTTTTTTTTTTTTTTTTGTTAAATATATAATTGACATACTTTTAAATAGATCGGTTCCCTCCTTGAACCAATAGAAATGAAAATTATATAGTAAAAATATAATAAATACAGCTGTTTCTGGTACTCCCATTCGCCTTAGAAAAGCGGATAGCCAGAAACGTAGCAATATGTACTATTAAACAATTTGATAATTAACTGACGAGGATATTTTTATATTTAGTTTATAATTAATTTTATTTATCATAATTTGCAGATTGTTAAAAAGTACGAAGAGCTGATAAAACAATACGAAGGACGTGTTCCTCCACCAGCCGTTTTAAGAAATTTCGTGACTGAAAATTTCAAAGACGGTAGTGAACTAGAAGTAAGTAGTATATAAAGTAGTAGGATCTTAAGATTAGCATCACAGTGCCTAACTCATTGAACTAATTTGCTCCCTATCCATGTATATCTATTCATATCTATAAATCTCATAATCATTAATTAATTATAATTGGTAAACAATGTTGCAGTTATGGGAACCACACGACTGGTCACAACAGCCTAACATTCTTAACAGGATCAAAGACGACAATTTCAGAGAATGGGCTTTTCAGTTAAACGCAATTTGGAAAAACCTGAGTAGAAGAATAACAGAAGATGTTCACAAAAATCCTGAACTTCATTCACTAATATATGTTCCAAACGGGTACGTTAGTTTAATATTTAACTTACGAAATAAATTCTTATAGATACTATTAGCATTTTTTAATCGGTTCTTCTTCTTTTTTTTTTACAGCTTCATTATTCCTGGAGGTCGGTTTAGGGAACTTTATTATTGGGATACTTTCTGGATCGTAAATGGATTGTTAATTTGCCAAATGACAGACACTGCTAGGGGTGAACAATATCTCCTATTATATGAAAAAAATAAACATCTTTATGTTATTTAAAAGGATAATTTAAATATTAAGAAAATGTTCAGTCAAAAGTACATTAATTCTATTTAAGTAGTCCAAACTTAAAATATTGTGGTTCGTAAGCAGGAAAAGCATCCCTCCTAATACAAGTAATTTCTTGCAGAGGCTCGGTGTTGGGATCGGGCAGATTATTTTAGACTCGTTAGGAATCCTCCATCACCAAATATATTGATCTAGACCTTCACTTATTTGATTCTGCAAACCGTTGATGTGTATTCCAATGGTCCGATCTAACACTCTCTCTTATATTTTTATACAGTATTATCTATTGAATAATGAGTATGCTGTGTTATTTATCAACTCAACACAGTTCAATGATGTTGTATTTCTTCCAGGAAAATGTATAATATAAACTACATATAGGATGTCCCGTAAAAAGAGGGAAAAATTTGAAGTGATTGCAGACCTCGAGAGCTACCAAAAATTATCTAAATAATGGTCCACTAACGGATCCAGGATTTAATTTTGGGAGGGGCTTCAGCGCGAAATATATTTTTTTTAATGTATATATCAGGATAATTACTTCAGATGAAAGAAAGAAACTAACTACCTATGTGAAATGGTATAGTGGACTGGGTGGCCGAACGGGCTAATGTGTGTGCCGTTGCCCAGCAACCTGATGTTTTAACTGTCATATTTTTTTTTTATCGGGAAGCTATGACTCAAAAATATTTAATTTAGTTCATTAACAATTGCTTTAAAGTAATCTATACAAAATGACTTCAAATAAAATTTGAATTTGTCATTATTAAAACCATTTACATAAGAATTTTGAGCGGATAACAAAGCAAAGTTATGTTTATTTATTCTTCGAAATATGAGACCATTGTCCGCGTCTATATTGTTAAACTGTTAACATATATCACTTTCACTTAATTTTCAAAAATAGATATTCACAGTAAATGTTAATGATCTACATAATATATGTATAATCTATAAGATATATCTAACATTAATATATACTTTAACAACTTACTTGTTTTGTGGTAGATGTTTTGGTTAAAACTCAAAATCTTTCCAAAAGAACCACTTTTAAGCTATTTTTCGAAATTTTTTTGGCCAGCAAGCAATTATTACTTTCACTTACCTATATATGTAATATATAGTAAGGGAAATTATTGCAATCGTGAAAATTTTTGAATCTGAGTTTTCTATGGAAATACACGTTTTGAGGTCCACTGAGTCCAAATAACCAATTAAGTCCCGCAAAATGGTCTGTGTGTCTGTGTATATATGAACAGTCCAGCTCAAAAATGAAAAGTCGTACGAAACTGATATTACGTATTTAAGATAGGTATATGCTTTAGATGTCATAACAACTTTTTCCTTAAAATCGGCTAACCGGAAGTGCCACTTTATTGTATAAAGTTTATACTAACGGTGAAACACATTTTTACAAGTTTTATCACCATTGATGTCACGTTACATAGCTTACATGCCAAATGTTTACTTACGTCTTCCTCTAAAGTACCTTTAATATGTTTAATTTTAAATAATTAACTATCTCTCATCGAAAGAATTCAATAATTGAATAAAGAAGAAAAAACATTAATCCTTATCCAGGTCGAAAATGAATCTCCGGAAATATTAGTGAGAAAGTATTCGTATAATATATCGTTGGAAAGAGGAGAATTTTAGAAAAAAACAACATACAAAGTCTATCTAACATACAAAGTTGTAGAAGGTAAAGGAGATTGGCGAAAAAATTATAAATAATAATTTTTGAAAACTAATATTATTTAACGTAAATCACTTGTTTTCAAGGAAATTAAATGAAGTTTACTAATTAAAAATGTAAACTTTTAAAATATTTTTAAGTTTGAAAAAAGTATTTATAATCCCCCTAATCAAGACAATGACACTGTTTAAAAAAACTATTTCATTGTACTTGAGTAAAAGAAGAAGTGAAATATAAAATTATTTCATGGATGTATAAAGCGTATGTTTATGACCTTAAATACATTTACTGTAGTTTAATAATTCTAGATCTGATATTATATTTAAATAATTAGGTATGAAAGTCCGTTTATTCCGAAAAATCGTCATGTAACTTCTTAAAAAATTAAATCAGTGAATTATTTAATGAATTCTTCCTTTGTCCGGTCTATGACAGACAATGCAAATCACGTAATTTCATTTTAGTAATCTTTGCAATGGAATATAACAGTTTAATAACTAATCGTCCTACAATCTATAATCAAAGGATCATACAATCCATAATCAACGGATCGTACAGTCCATAATCAACCGGTGATATAATATGACTTTTGTTATTTTAATGATATTTATGATTTGTTATCTGTAAGTTTTTAGTTTTAGCTCGGTTAAAAATGCAATTCAAAGTTGAGCAGTAAGTGAAAGTTGTGTGTTGCGTGCACCAGATTTTTTTAATATTGATGTAGGATAAATGTACCGGTAATAGAACAGATATTTTAAGAGAAATTTTCAACATTAATTGAAAATTGAAGTGAGTTCTGAAGGTGGATTTTTGCAAATGGGTTTAATTGACAGAAAATTTAGTCTTTTAGCAATTTCGTTTTTTCCAAACAGTCAATTAGTTTATTATTCATGAAAAATTCTGACAGCGTATTTTGCACTAGTCATAGGTTTTGGGGTCAACTGGACTTTTTATGTAATTAAAATAAAACAAAATGAGTACTATACAATTTTAAACAAGGAAATGGCAAACTACAGATTTATTAGTCGAAATTTCAAACTTATCTCATAAGGAAAAGTTATAAGGAAACATCCCTGAAACAAAAAAGCCTTGCTCCATCAGAAAAACAACCAATCGGCTATTATGGGATAATATCGCTTAAGGTGAATGCCTTCTTAAGTGTTTGCACTCTCTTTTGGGTGTAGACAACTTATTACTTGTTGATGAGTTGAAAACTGTCTCCAACTGGTACAGCGCCTATTACTATAAAGTGACCAGATTTTAACATTGGTAAAGCGAGACACCATTGATCGGGAGAGATTAGTTGGTAAAGTGGGACACCATTTTGACCGGAGGAGAGGGAGAGGTTATTGATTAAAATTTGGTTCATTCAGTAAGTCCAAACAATAGTTCAAATTTTTGTTGTCATAATTAATTTTACATAATGATAATCTGGAGCAAATGTTAATCAGGTGACACAGCATTTAGCTGAAAGAAGATTGAGAATTTAGATCTATAGGTTTATTTTTGGGAAAGAATTATTTGGTGTTTAATTTATGACTTCGACATTGACATGTGTGAACATTGATAAAAGTGAGGTTAATTTTTCTTTGAAAATCTTTTTGACAAAATCTTAGAGTAAATTAACAGTGAAAACTTTTCTTTTTGTTGCATTCTGTTGTTGAAACCAATTAGCTCCAAGAAATAGGAACTCCACACCTCGGCGTAGCGGTTTCACCGCAAACGATGTCTGAGACGTCGATATCAGGCAGTTCTACAGAAAATGTGGACGCCTTAAGCTCAAACCAAACTACTGAAAATAATTGGGAACTCGTTACAGGAAGAAAACGCTCAATGGACAATAACAGAGACCCAAGAAAAGCTAAAAAGGTAAGCGAAGTTACAACAATAACCTCAAATAGCTTTGAAGTTTTAACTAACATTAGTGACGAGTCTGATGCTACCACTAAGCAACCGGTTTCTGTAAAACCGCCTCCTATCCACCTGAATGATGTACAGAACTACACCGAACTGGTCACATTTCTCCAAAATGTAGGAGGTTTGAACAGCTTTAACCTAAAATCCACATCGAGAGGAGTAACCGTATATCCTGAAAACTCTGACACATATAGACGTATAGTAGCTAACTTAAGACAGGTAGGTGCCGATTTCCATACCTATCAGTTAATAGAAGATAGAAATCCAAGAATTGTATTAAAAAACTTACACCATGCTACTCCAATTGAAACCATAAAATACGAATTAAAATGCCTAGGTTACGATGCCACAAGTATTGTGAACGTTATTTCCAGATATAAAAATCCACTTCCCATGTTCTTTATCGACATCTCTAAAGCCACATTTAATGAAAAAATTTTTGATATTAAATATTTATACTATACTAGAGTGAAAATCGAAGAACCTAGAAAGAAAAGAATGATTCCACAGTGCACCCGTTGTCAGCAGTATGGCCACACGAAGGCTTACTGCAATCACTCCCCGAAGTGCGTGAGATGTGGCCAAGGACATGATAGCACCCTCTGCCAAAAGACAAGAGAGACCGCAGCAACATGCGCGAATTGTAGCGGATCCCATCCAGCAAATTATAGAGGTTGTGCAACTCTGAAACAACTGAGAGAAGTACGAAATCTCCGTAAAAATATACAAAGTCCCCAAAAAGCACAAACTAGCGCACCCCCAGGTATAGACGAGTTTCCTTCTCTTCCGCAAAGTCAGCAAACTGCAAATTCAGGTTCTTCAAAACCCGATTCCCAATATCTAGGACCAAAACTGCGAACTTCCCCTACAGAAGTCTCAGAAAATCACCTTCACCAGCCAAAGCATTCAGAAATGAAAAAGGGCTTTACTCAGCCGCCGCCACCGACTTACAATCACCCGGCTTCAGCTCAGCTCTTCAACTTGGTAAGTGGATTGAATAACCTCATCCAGCCTCTTTTCAGCCTTCTCCAAGAACTGTCTCACGTTGCACAAGCCTTATCCTCCAGTTATGGCTACTAATCGGCTGACAGTGGGCTCCATGTCCGTTCTTCTCTGGAACGCAAATGGTATAAACCAACACAGGACCGAACTTGACATGTACCTACATGAAAAACGGACTGACATTGCTCTCATCACTGAAACACATTTGACTCCACATTCTAAATTTTACATTCCAGGCTACAAAATATATAGAACTGACCACCCTGATAAGACGGCACATGGCGGTACGGCAATACTGATTAAGCAATCACTAAAACACAACCCTTTACAATTACCCATTACACCTGACATACAATCCACAGCAATTACTCTGTATACCCAGCACCATACCATTACCTTCGCTGCAGTGTACTGCCCTCCGAGATACGTGCTAACATCTGCAATGTTTTACAATTTCTTCCAACATCTCGGTCGGTGTTTTATTGCAGGTGGTGATTATAATGCCAAACATCAGTCCTGGGGAGCACGACTCTGTACTCCTAGAGGAAGAAATCTAAAGTCTGCCATCGATCAGCTTTCATTAAACACGATCTCACCTGATACACCTACTTACTGGCCAACTTCAAGACAGAAAACACCAGATTTACTTGACTTTTTCATTACTAAAGGACTCAGGACAGTGCCGTATACTGTAACTGCAAGCTCTGATCTTTGTTCTGATCATTCTCTTCTCAGTTTGTTACTATGCGATGAGCCTCGTACTGCATCAAAAAAACCAACACTTACAGATAGGATAATCGATTGGGAAGCTTACAGCGACTACTTAAATTCGACGCTATCAATCCCAATGTCCCTTAAGACCGAAGAGGAACTCGAAAAAGCTGTTGATAAGTTCACAATCAGCTTACAACAGGCTGTATGGTCATCATCTGTACCAAGACCCAGCAGAAATACGTCTCTTCCAATCTATCCGCAGTACATTAGAGACCTGATCAGAGCAAAGAGAAGAGCGCGCAAAGTGTGGCAGACTGGTCGACTCCCATCTGACAAACGGACTTTCAATAGACTTAACAATGAACTTAAACGTCAGATTCAGAATTTTAAAAGAACGATCTACGACAATTACCTCAAAAATCTTTCGACTGACGATGGAAGCTTATGGAGACAGACTAAGAAACTTGTAAAGCATCGTGAGGTGTCAGCACCACTCCGAAACGTAGATGGTTCCTGGGCTGTGTCAGACCTTGAAAAATCTGAGCTCTTTGCCAACCATCTTTCTTCTGTTTTAACACCACATACTGACTTCTCTAATACTGATCACGATAGACATGTACAAAACACTTTAGACATTCCTTTACAACTGTCATTACCTCCACTTTGCTTCGCTCCAACTCATGTTGCAGAACAAATCAGACAGTTACCTAAAAAGAAAGCTCCCGGCCATGACCTGATAAATGCTCAAGTGCTCCAGAAAATGCCAAGGAAAGCTCTAGTATACCTAACATCAATTTATAACGCAATACTCAGAACGACTAAATTCCCCTTACAATGGAAATATTCATTCATAAAAATGATTCACAAACCTAACAAAAACACTGACATTCCTTCATCATACAGACCCATCAGCTTGCTCCCATTATGTTCTAAAATCTTTGAGAAACTTCTCTACAAACGACTTTTTGACATACTGACTACTGAAAACATAATACCTGAACATCAGTTTGGATTTCGTTCACACCACTCAACCATTCATCAGCTACACCGAGTGACAGACTACATTGCGACAGCACTAGAGCACAAATTATATGCAACAGGAGTATTTCTGGATGTTGCTCAAGCGTTCGATAGAGTCTGGCATCAGGGACTTCTTTTCAAACTTAAGACTATACTCCCTCCAACCTACTATCTTATTCTTCAATCTTTTCTTTCTGACAGATTTTTCTCTGTTTGCCAAGGTACAGAACTATCTACCATTAAACCAGCCCTAGCAGGGGTGCCTCAGGGGTCAGTACTCGCTCCTCTGTTGTATATTATTTACACATATGATATTCCAGATCCTCTCGATACTCTGACCGCGACTTACGCAGACGATACAACAATCTTGACAAGGCATCAAAATTCAGCATACGCCTCACAGACTTTACAATATCACCTAAACAATTTCTACGACTGGTGCAAACTCTGGAAAATTCGACTCAACCTAGACAAATCACAACATATCACTTTTACCCTTCGACGTGAAACTTGCCCCCCTATTTACCTTGACAATATCCAAATTCCTCAGACTGACAAAGTTCAATATCTTGGACTGACCTTTGACAGAAGAATGACATGGAGCCAACATATTAAAAACAAAACAAAAACTCTAAACCTAAGACTACGCCTATTGTACTCACTCCTTGCAAGAAATTCGAAATTAAAACTTAGACAGAAATTGAATACATATACTTACCTACTCAAGCCTATTTGGACCTACGCTTTACAGATATATGGGACAGCCAGAAAGACTCACATACGTAAATTACAGACTTTTCAATCTAAAACTTTCAGGACTATCACCAAAGCTCCCTGGTACGTCAGTAACATTACTCTACATAAAGACTTACAGATGCCAACAGTTAACGACCACATACGAACATACTACAAACGATTTTATAATAACTTACACGGACATACAAACTCATTGATTCGAGGCATGGCCACAACTAACATGCCCGATAACACCCGAAGGAGGCTTAAAAGAAGCTGGATGAGGGATCTCCTCCACTAACTATAAACATTATGGTCAAGACAGGAAGGACGCCGCTGGGTACTCCTCTCCCTCACGCCTATTCCAAGACCAATCTCTACATCTTGACATCACACTCGCTGATTGTCGGAACTTCTGACAGGTGTGAGTTGAAGAATCAAGTTAAAAAAAAAAAAAAAAAAAAAAAAAAAAAAAAAAAAAAAATTTATGACTTCAATAATAGCACAGTTTTTAAGCCTTAAATTCTTTATGCCAGCAGTTTGTACACATTCAAGTACCTCTTTTTCAAAATATTATAAACTTATTAAAGGTGACAACATTTCAGTAATCGAAGTAGAACATGAAATTAATTTGCTGATGCCCAAGATTTAAGCTTTTTCCTTATCAATATATATTTTTAATAACGATGCCTCATTAAAAGTTTCATTTTCGGGTTTTTTATCATCATTAAGTCTAAACAATAGTGGTCGAATTTTAACAACTGATAAACTATGCTAAGCAGTTCTTGATAATCAATTGCTAACAATATATTAATAAGTTTTTTTTCCTGTTGGCGATACAGACCATGTAGATCGATTGCTGCCTTAACAAGCCTGCTCCATCACTGGCTGTCTTGGGCTATTTCTTTCCATTTATCAGTACGCAGCTCTGTTGCATATTTGTTGATTCTATCCATCCTTCTGCTTTTTTGGCTTTCCACGTAGTCTTTTGCCTTCTATTGAGGCATTCATTGTTACGTGGAGGCTTTCAGATGGATTGCTACGAGCTACATGCCCCGCCCATCTCAACCTCCGTGCCTTCATATCATGGGATATTGATTTACCAGTTTCTGTAAGCAGTTCTTAATTTGTGCTCTTTATTCTCCATGTGTTAGTACTCTGATCCAAGATCGCTTTGGTTATCGTTCGGAGAACTTTCCTCTGAAATCTTTCAACACTTTTTTCTAGGGCGCTGGTCTCTTTCAGGGGTCACACAGCCATATATTAGAACTGGCTTTATCATAGCATTTTAAACCGTTATTGTGATATTTCTTGAGATTTTTCGGGATTTCAATACCTTTGAGAGGGAAAAGAAAGCTTTGTTTGCGCTAGTTAAACGTTGGTCATTCATTGAGGTTATTGTGGAGTTGAGATATTTTAATTTACGCATTATTATATCCTATTGTGTAATAACCTAATTTAAATTTATTATTACCATCATATATAGAGTATCATATATCACAATATTCTTCTTCCAGGAGTCATAGAAAATCTATTATATTTAATAAAAAATGTGGGCCATATACCGAACGGTAACAGAGTATATTACACCCAAAGAACTCAGCCACCAATGATTACACAAATGGTCAATTCTTATTTCCAGCATACAAAAGACTTTTCTTTCATTAAGAAAAATATTCATGTAAGTATTTTTAGTTTAATGAGTCTTAAATTACTGTATTGATACTGTAATTATATTAAAAAATATTTTTTTAAAGCTGTTAGATATAGAGATGGATTACTGGCAGACATCCAGAACAGTAGAAATTAATACGAATGGAAAAACATATAAACTTTTTAGGTATTTTGCTGTTTCTAATGGGCCCAGGCCAGAATCCTACAGGTGACTTCTCTTATAATATTTTTTTTTTATAATTGTTCTCCCTTTAAGAATATTTAGAACTATTTTCAAATGTTGTTTATTTAGTTTATGTTATATCATTGGCGATATTACAAAACCATAAATGTGCAAATTCCTATTTTTGATAAAACGAGAAATCAATAAATAACTAGCTGGCCTTTGCGAATAATTCGCATAAAATGTTTTTCAGTGAACAATTGATAAAATAGTTCTGAAATATGTTAATGAAATCTATTATTGGGTGGAGGAATACATTTTCGTTTTCTTGCTTGAATTAAAATTGATAATTCATAATAATAAATCAAAAGTTTTGTAGAGCTTATTGTTACTGATACTTTGTTTTATTTTGCTGAAAATTTTATAACCTTTAATTACTCATGGGTTCAATCAGCCATAAATTCCATACTTATCCTGTTATAATTCAGCAATATTATTTTCCAACTCCACTTCATTCCGATGTTCTTTATAGGCACAACGCTCATTCTAAGTTTAGTTCGCCGTGATATTTACCACGCAGGAAAGAAACTCAGAAGATGCCCCCTTTGTCAATAGGTTGTATTCATGTTCATGTATTAGCCTTGAGTGCCCGATACGTAATCATGCTAGGCTGATCTGTTTTATTCTTTTCAACTGGAAGTGCACTCGATTTGTTACTACATTGAGCTAGAAATAGTAATTTTTATGGGAATTCGGAATCCATGACAACATTGGCATCAGGATTTACTATAGCACTTTAGGGCTTTAAAACGAAATGACTTAATCTTAAAAATTGTCAGAGTTATCCTTTAATACATAAATATCAGAAATTCTGAAAATAGTTTTCAAAAATGGTAGTGTAAAAATGATAATTAATATTTTACAGCACTTCATTGAAAACAATATTAGAAGGAATAATACATTAATTACAATAGGCTGTATCTTTGTAAATAATGGTCCGATTTTCCTGGGTTTTTTATTTTTTATTTTATTTTATTTTTTTTTTTTTTTTGTAGAATTTAGTAAATTATCAAGAACAAGATGTATATTTTTGAATTAATTTGCAAATAAATTTTATTTTCATTCATGACTTTTTCCCTGAAATTTTGGATGTAAGTTACTATGATTCGTCACTGCTCCATTTAATACCCTTTCGTTTAATACCTCATTCAGAAAAATACATCTCTCCTGAGAGCCGGATAAGGAATCGTTACGGCAAAAAACTGTCTTATTATATTATAAAGAAAGATAAACACGATACTAATGCCTTTTCGCTGCTTCGAAATGGCGGACGGTTTCAAAATCATTCAGAGGTTTCAAAATCACGCTATTCTCAAGTTCTCGATGAATGCCGAAAGTATCCGAGTATTGGCAATCCTGCATACAAGCGCCATAGCCACAGACTTGAGGAAGATTTATTTTCGTTGTATTCTTAATTTATTTACTTTAAAATGTTGTTTTTCATTTTTGGTTTATTATTTTCAATAATCAACCATTGTGATCGACCAAAAAATTCAAAAATTTAACCCCCTCTCAAAATTTGGATAAAAAATCAGAGGTCACCCAAGGATGATCCTCCTTCAACATTACTATCCGCCTTTTATTTTCAAAATGGCGGCCGAAAAATCTGCATTGCTATAGACTGTAGCTCCTAAGCGAATGTACCGATTTCAATGAAACTTCGCTAAAGTCATTTTCTCGAAGCCCATTAAATTTATCTATATAACATACTTCAACGAAAAGAAGCTGGAAAAAAGTTACGAGGGATGGTAAAATTAAATTCCGAATAACTCAAACAGTTTACACTTTTTTGTTGGTATTGTGATAAGATGTTTCAAAGATATTTAAATTTCCTAAAAAATGAAGGAAGTGCGTATTTATTTATCTTATCGAAATCAAAGCACTATTAGTAGATATCGCGATTTTTAAATATTTTTGGGTTATTATTTTCAATAATCAACCATTGTGATCGACCAAAAAATTCAAAAATTTAACCCCCTCTCAAATTTTTTTTTATGAAATAATAAATAAAAAGGATAGGTAAAGGTAACTTTTTTTTTTTTTTGCAACTGCAGGTTAAGAATATTTCTAAAAATTAATTTGAAATTATATTATAATATTCTTTTTACCTTAAAGGCTTGTTCTTGTTCATTTTTTTTTATATGAATAGATTTAAACTCGCCTTCACACTTCCATCCATTTACTTTCTCAATGTTACGATTCATAACAGTTTTCCATTTTCAAAAAAATCACTAATACATTATTATATTATCAATTAACCTTGTGCATCAATAAATAGTTAGAAATGTGAAGACGAGTTATTAAAATTATTCTTTTAAGTATATAAAATTTGAAAATAATTTGTGTCTAAGATGAGGATATGAACTATCGATAGTAACTAGGACTATCGACAGAGCTATCGATAGTAGCTGGGACTAGTGATAAAGCTATCGATAGTTTTAAACTATCGATATATTTATAGTACTATCGACTATCGCTCATCCCTAGGTTAGGTTATGTTATTTTAGGGTTGATGTCTCATGAGGCTATGACGTTCTAATCCTTCCGACCTCCTCCTGCGGGCAAACTGTTTTGGCACAAGTTAACCTCTTGATTCCTCGATCGCTTGGCAGATTTTCCAGCGAATATACGAGAGAAGACTAATTTGCCTAGAATGAAGAAGTTCTTTCCCATCGCAGCACTTTGTAGCCTATTGCGAATCTAGCGTGACAAAAGTCTAAAAATAAAGATCGAGATAATGGTGAGAAACGTGTCTGTACCATTAGGTAAGATGGTAATAAACAAAAAACACATAAATAACCAAGAGCAATACCAATCAAGCACTTAAAAATTTAACTCTTTCATATTTTGATGACAAGCTAGGTCGTTCTGTCTCCAAGTATTGAATAGTAAAGAGATGCAATTATTTTTTTTTTAACAGCACGTTCTCGCACGTTTAAAAGAAATTGTAACAATTCTGTTATGAGTGGAAATCTCTTGTTTTCGGAAAAAAATAATTGACTGAGACATAGGGAGAAGAGGACGATGTTTTCAACTAGTCTAAGAAAAAATCATTTACTTGATTGAGCATTCACATTAAACATTTTATTTTAAGACAATTAATCAATGTGTAAATTGCTTTTTTTATCTTCAATAAGAAATAGATTCTTGGCGATAATTGGAAAAATAATATAATAAACCTAAATTCAGATCAGCTGATAATATTGAAATATCCTATCGTTGTTATACAATTCCTTTTTACTTTCACTTACGTATATATGTAATATATAGTAAGTGTAAGTATTGCGATCGAGAAAATTTTTGAATCTGAGTTTTCGACGGATTTATACGTTTTGAGGTACCCTGAGTCGAAATGACCAAGTCCCGACAAATGGTCTGTATGTCTGTGTGTCTGTGTGTTTGTATGTAAGCAGTCTAGCTCAAAAACGAAAAGTCCTATGAAACTGATATCACGTATTTAAGATAGGTATATGCCTTAGTTGTGACGGCAACTTTTTCCTTAAAATCGGCTAACCGGAAGTGCCACTTTATATCAACGCTGAAACACATTTTCACAGTTTTCTCAAAAACGGCTCTAACGATTTTGATTAAACTCGGTGTATCATTGTATAATTAAGTGGTCTTTAATATAAATTAGGTCTTATCCCCATTGATGTCACTTTACAGGGCTTAAATGCCCAATGTTCATATACGTCTTCCTCTAAAGTATCTTTAATATGGTTTATTTTAAAAAGATAATTATTTCGCATTATTCAGAGTTACGAAAAAATGCTAAATATAACTTTTGAAAGAAATAAAAATGGTTTTCTAAAAGTTTATGGAATAGCAAAAAAAACGAAAAAAAAAATCGTTAAAATCGGATAATTAGGAGATAAGATATGGTCTCTAGTTTTTTTTAATACGTTCTGCTGCAATGGTTATATCCTTTGTTCCGGTTTTTGAATTTTGAATGTGTTAATAAGGTAATGCTAATTTTTTTAAAATGTATTTAAAATCCACCTAAACAAGTTGATGGCATTGTTAAAAAAACTGTTTCAGTTACTTGTGTGAAAGAAGAAATAAAATATAAAATCATTTCATGGATGTATAAATCATGTGTTTATAATATTAAATACATTTACTGTAGTTTAGTAATTATTTATTAAATTTTAAATTGGTCCATAATCGTCTTATATTTTTGGCTACATTCAAGGAATTGCTGTGTTATATATGTGTGCGATGTTATATTGCGTTCCTGGCGTTTGAGAATTTAAAGAGAAAAAATGAATTTTTTTTTATTTTGGGAAAGTGTTTATTATGCTATGTCTATTGTTTAATATGGCTTATTGTTGATAATTTGTAAGAGTATTGTTATGAAGGGGGAGAAAAAAAAAAGAAAAATATAATATAAAATTAATGTCCGTATGGATTGATAAGTATGCTATGTACGAAGCAACCCTATGTAGTAGGGCAGCATTACTTTTAATAAAGTATTTCTCTATAAACAATTAGGTATTAAAGTTAATTCCAAAATATTGTCATATAACTTTTTAGAAAACTAAATTAGTGAATAATTCGATAGATCTTCTCTTTGTGATATTCCTCTACCATTTCATTGTACTTGTGTGAAAAAAGAAGTGAAATACAAAAATATTTCATAGATACGTTTATAACCCTAAATATATTTACTGTAGTTTAATAACTCTAGATCTCATAATATATTTAAATATTTAGATATCTATCGTTCGTTTATTCCGAAAAATCATCATGTAACCTTTTAGAAAATTAAATTAGTGAATAGTTTGATAATTCTTCTTTTTGCGATATTCCAACAGAATCCACTTACAATTAGTGTGACAACTTTTGACATGTCTATGACAGACACTGCAAATCTCTTAATTCCGTTTTAATAAACTTTGCAATGGAAAATAACAGTTTAATGACTTATAGTCCTACAATCCATAATCAATGGATCGAACAATCCATAATCAACGAATCGTACAATTCATAATCAACCGGTGATATAATAAATAGGACTTTTGTTATTTTAATAGCATTTGTATTTTTTTTAGCTTCAGCTCAGTTTAAAATGCAATTTAAAACATTTTATAATAGCCTAACATGGCCAGAAAATAATTTTTATTCAAAGTTCAAAGAGTAAGTGAAAGTTGTGTGTTGCGCGCACCAAATTTTTCTCTTTTTTATGCATGGATGGCACACATACAACTTCAAATCTTTACATTTTGACGGAAAAACGAGTTCTCTTTTAAGTTTGATATCTTTAATTATTTGGGAAGATACCTTAACTAATTTGAAACAACTTAAACTGAAACGTCGAGCAAAAACGCTGATATGTCATTCAATAAAATTAGTTTAATCAATTCGCTAGAAGATATTCAACGGTATTTTGAACGAACAGGTTTGTAAACTGGATCGAATTTATGCTTAATGGTCTAATTTTTTAAGTGAGATCTCGTGAGTGCATTGAAAAAATTTGAGTCCAAAACACCGGTCAGATCATTGTGTAAAGTGTTCGTCATCTGACCGTTAAAAAATATGTAACAACTTATTGACCTGTTTTTAAGTTAAAAGGTTCAAATGATTCACGAGAGATCTCGTTAATGTTTTGAAACTATTTAAGCTGAAAACACTGCAAGCAAAATCAACTATATTTGAATAATTCTTTAATTTGAATTCATTTCATGTTATATTATGAAAGATGTGAGCTAAATAGCCCTTGGTACAGACCCCTTTTTATTAAACTATTAACATCGGCTAAAACTTCGTAAATAGCTCCATCTCATCGTAACCTACAACTATTTTATTGACGAAAATTCTCGGGATTGGGGCGTTTTCAATCTGGAGGTCGGCAAACTTTGTATATTTATTAAATACTAAAAACTCGTAAATACCCATTTGCTTTCCACGTGAATCGTAAGATAACTTGAGCAAAAAGATGGCCTCCAAAAATATTGAGCCGTTTGGCGTGCCCTACTCTCCCAAATTGTCAAAATGACGAGGTTATATAGGCCAAACAGCCCAATATTTTTGTAGGCCATCTTTTTTATCGATTTTATACTCAAGTTATCTTATGATTCGAACGGAAAGCAAATGGATACTTACGAGTTTTTAGTACCTAATTAAATAGACAAAGTTTGCTGACCTTCAGATTGAAAACGCCCCAACTCCGAGAATTTTTGCAAATAAAATATTTATAAGTTAAGATGAGATGACGCTATTTACGAAGTTTCTGCCGGATGTTAATAATTTGATAAAAAGGAATCTCTACTACGGACTAAAACTACTACAGAAATAGGGAAAAACTATCCATCCTAAGGGAATATACTTTCTTCTACATCTACTTAAATACCTTGGTACATTGTTAAGAAAATTAATATCTACGCATTCTTAGTGTTGTATTCGAGTGCCTTTCACTACACATTACAAATTTTGGCAAATAGATTTGGGTACTTGTGATTGACGCGGGCCCTATGGACTGCTATCTGCAGTTATCTTGTTATTTAAAGTGTTGTTGTTATTTATATTTCTTATTTTTAAAAACTACTTATTATAAGTAGTCTCGTAAAGTTTCAAATGGAACTCCGATGGCATTAGCTGCATATCTAATGGAACGTCCATCATCAATAAGTGCCACACCACGCGCAACATCCTCAGCACTAAGAGGCATTTTTAAACTTATTACTGAAAAAATTAAAAGCCAGAGACTAAGAAATGTACTGCAAGAAACGGTACTGAACTAATGATACTGAATAAACATTTTGATTCCATAGAAAGTATACATTGGAATCTAGAATCATTTCATTGAATTAAGGATTACGGGTTATTGTCTTCTATATTAACATTCCTAATTGAAAACAAACAAAAAGATTACCTATTCATTCATTAAAAAGAATAGACCAATCCAAAGCAGAAATATTTTTAGATGAAAACGTGAAAAAATCAAGTGGGTGGAATTTTTTGCCTGTCAGTGTATATATATATATATATATATATATATATATATATATATATATATATATATATATATATAATATATATATATATATATATATTATTGTTATTAATATTTCTTATGACTAAATTAAATTACGGTACTTGTGAGCGACGCGGGCTCTATGGACTGCTATCTGCAGTTATCTTGTTATTTAATGTGTTGTTAATTATATTTCTTATAATTAAATTTCTGCTTCTTATTATTAAAAACTACTTATTATTAAATAATCTCAATCTTCGTATTAAATTATACTATCGTATAATAAGAAATATAAATATATTTGGTGTTGCCTCTCTCTTGTCTGTTTCGCATTAATATATATCTGACAGGCAAAAAATTCCACCCACTTGTTACCCATTAAGGAACCACGTTGGAAAGGTTGGCTGGAAAAATTACAGGCTGCATATCTTTCGTTTCTTCTTCTCCACACCCTTTAACGCCCGTTTGGAGATCGAAGAGCGAATCTTGACTCATCAGTAAAAAGTACAGAACTCCATTCGTCCATAGTCCAATGGCTGTGTTCTTGAGCAAAAGCCAGCCGTGTTACTCTGTGAGCTCTGATCAACTCTGGTCCTCTTACTGGATGAAAAGCCATTAATCCATACTCATTTAATCTACCAATATGTTTAAGCATATGCGAAAGTACATTCCCTAAGATTAAATAAGATTTTCCGATTTCTGTAGTATTTTTTTTTTTTAAATTCAAATATATTTGTTAACAATTATAAACGTGTATTGTAATTGAATAAAAATTCCTCTGTTATTATAGCGAGTAATTTACAATCTATAGCTGGAGATCGTTAAGCTATATCTTCTTTCGGACACATTCGGGTATTTTCGGCAATCTAGGCGATCTTGTAACCATCTTTTTTCTTCTAGTTTGTTGTTTTACTGTTGCGTGAGCCGTTGAATGCAAAACTGTTGTGTCATTTTCATAACTAATAATGAAGGTTCTTAAATTGTTGATATGATTGAAATTGATCACTTTTAAGAGAGAAAGTATGCTTGTATACCTTACCAAAATAAGCATATCATTATTCTACATAGTTATTTTTACATTTCCTTACTTAATAAAGCTTAAGATATTATATTTATTTGTCATGCGCAGAGAGGATACAATTACTAGTGAATCAACGGGCTCAGATCAAGCTGAATTGTTCATCGATATAAAATCAGCTGCAGAATCTGGATGGGATTTCTCGTCTAGGTGGTTTATAGAAAATGCCACTAACCATGGTTAGTTTCTTATATTAAATATTAATTTACTTAATTGTACTACTCTAATAAATAGTTCTTTAATATTTTAGTGATGTTAACATTTTTCAAGGAATAAGAAACTGTTGTTTTTTGTTTTTTTTATTATTGCTATTTTATTATATTTTTTTTAATGATTCAAATAGACCTAACGTGTTTTTCCACAATTTTTATATATTATTGAAATATATTAATAAATTTTAATATATCGCTTCTTTGGAACAAAATTTGATGTTAATTCCATGGGCGTCGAACAGTAGCCTGATTCAGGCAATCTAGCGAGACAAAAGTCGAAATATCGATTGTTAAAAGTTTTGAGGAAACTGGCATGAATGACCGGAAAAGCAGAATTAGTCGGAATAAAAACAAACAATATGAGCAAACATGATTAGAAACATTAAAAGTAGAGAGCCATTTAGCGAGTCGTAGGTATCACAACGAACGCTCAACTTCTGTAAATATTGTGCTTATTCTGTTACCTCATTTAATTTTTCCAAATACGAATACTGTTTCCAAAGGCCTGTATTTTATAATATTCATATCAATGGACTAACGTGGAACCCCCATACTAGACTTAAAAGACAGGAACTTTACAGCCAACTATACACACTACTAAACAGGAAATCTTAACATTCTATTGAAAACAAATTACTGACCTACAAGACAATACTGAAACCTATTTGGACTTACGGACTATAACTGTGAGGAACAGCAAAATTTTCCAACATTAAACGCATCCAATCCTTCCAGTCAAAAGTCTTTGGAACAATAGTCGATGCTTCTTTCTATGTAACCAACAAAATCCTACACCATGACCTCAACATCCCATTTGTCAAAGACCTTAGCCCAGAAAAATTCTCCCAATTTCACCAGAACCTTACGTATCATCCAAATCCTCTTGCACAATCCCTATCAAGCACCACCCATCCCTACAATCCTCCAAGAAGGTTAAAACGGCATTTGCGCCGCGACCTTTTGTGGATGTATATGTATTGTAATTCTGGCAATGAACAGACTGTCTACTCAAGACATGAATGTATGTGGCTAAACCGCTCTCGATCAATCTCCGCTGGCTTTAACACCCGTGCTGCGGTTGAGAAAGGAACGCAGGCTACTTCTGGAGTCCTGCTTTTCCCTCCATACTTGGAGGGACAAGCCTTCCTCGGAATTCCCTCACCAAATTAAGTAGTGTACAAAGGTATCCATGTGTTTTTAGTTTTTTTTAATTTCCTTATTTTTAAGTTATTTTATTTTATTTATAGTATATACTTTTTGATTATTATTTTGCTTCTATTTATATTATTTTTTTACATGTAGTGAGAATGTTATCCTACCTCACTATAACTAATATCCAAGTGGCAGATTGTTGTAATATTAGATAAATAAATAAATAGAAAAAATTAAAAATATCACTGGAATACAATTTTGCTATTTTCCAGATAAAAAACGTCTGCCAAGTAAAGTCAGTATAGCTTCCTCGCCGTTTTCACTGGCTAGAATATTAAAATATTACAAGTTATACAATTTTTCGTATGAGAATAAAATCTCTGAGAGAAGCCGATTCGGAAGTCCCCCTTCAACATTCGCCGGTTTGTTATTCACGATTTTCGTTCTATTTCAGCTAATATTTAAATGCGAAAGAGTGCCGTATTTGAAGATTCCATATACCATATGATTCTTAATATTAAAAAAATAAATACCAATGCATACTGAACATGCATATCACTACTGTTAGTGCAAAAGGGCATATGTAAAAATTGATTGTTTTACGAGAGAGCATAAAAACTACCCATTTCTTTATGATTTATTAGTACCATTTCATATGTTATAGTCCACTGCTATTTTCCATAGTAGCGGACTACTTATATCAGTTGCAGACTACAAAATGTCACCTTCAGCGCGAATGGAATAAAAGTTAAAAATTTTTACACACGACCTTTTCACAAATAATAGTGATATATACTTAATAGGTATGTTTTCACTAGTAAAATATATGGAACTAGAAAATCCATAAGAAAAATTCAACTTGTTCGTTCGGAGTTAACGAGACAAATACGTTTCTTCAGTCAGAACAAAACTAATTAAGCTGGAATATAAAAATATTAGTGAAGTTCACACAACTTCGATATTTAAGGAGGAAATCGAGACCAAGACGAACTGATTGAACTTCAATGGAAATAAACACAATCACAAATAAGACTTTTTTTTTTTTACAAATTCAGAGTAAAAATTACTTTAAATTTACTGAAAATCTCTGTTAGAGGATACTTTACTGTAGCGGACTATATAATAAATCCCATAGAATTTTAAATAATTTTATATTATTAAGGTTTTCCAAATATTGGACGCTTGCTATAATGGACAAAGGGCAGGCTTTATTGAGTTGAAGCTCAATCCAACTTAAAAAATCGACTGCATTATTCTATTTTCTTTCAATGTTTTTTCTTATCTTATAGGAAGAAGTGCATTTGAAATAGTTTATACCATTTATTGTGCAGTTACTAGAGTATAGTTCAAATACTCTCAAATTTAATTTTAAAAATTAAGAGATTTGTTAAACAATATCATAAATCATTGCATCTTTGGAGATAACTAGACAACAATACTACATCAATTACAGTGAAAGTGATAATAATATGATTGTTATCGAACAATAATTTAATTTTTAACTTTTTATTTTTAAACTACTTTTATTTCAGGGGAAAAACAGCATGAATGTAAATATATTATTGAATATCCAACTACAATAGCTCTTTTGTGGCCAATTGTATCGACGGATTGGGTACAAATAATGGAAAACATGGGCAATCACAATCATACTTTTTAACGCTGGTATTCGCTATGGTTTGGATAATATGTAAACGCGGCGTAACAGAAATTGATAATATATAAAGGAATATTTCGCGCCTACAAAAATAATAGAAAACTTAGGTATTCATATGTCTTTGTTAAAACCAATTTGTAAGATTTTAAGTTACTTGATATTGGTACAGGACCATTTATAATATTGGTGGAAGCGAGTTTCCACTGTCCCATGCAGATCGACGCCTATGGTCCATTCATATACACATTGTCAATAATAGAAAAATAATGTTTTAGGAAACCTGTCTAGTATTCACACTCAAAACATTATACCTGTAGATTTGAATGCTTTATTACATAAGAATGCGAAATTACTAACTAGCTGGTTTAGAAAAATTGGAAATCAAGATAAAGCTAAAAAATACCAATTACTATCAAAGCAGATTATGGAAGGAATGACAGAGGTAAGTGTGTAGTTGATTAGGACTTTTAAAAAAATATTTTAATTTAAAAAAACCGACTACAGAAATTGGAAATTTCTATCCATCCTAAGGGAATATACTTCGATATCTACTGAAACATTTTTGTAGATTGATAGAGAAATTTACATCTACGAATAATTAAACTTGGTGTTACACATTTGGGATCGAGACAAATATTTTTTCCATGTCAACGCCAGAAAAAGTCTTGAGGTGTAATAGGAACCCGATTACTACATCAAGTTTAAATAGGTATGTCAATTTTCCTTTCGATCTATCAAGATGCTGAAGTAGATATGGAAGTACATTCCCTAAAGGGGAATAGAAATTATCAATTTCTGTAGTCGGATTTTTTTTTTAATTAAAATATTTATTTATTTTTTAATTTTTAGTGTTTAAAATGTTAAGAATTCATTTTCATAACATATGTTTATATGATATCATTTCAAATCAATTAATAATCAAGATATTTAAACTATATATATATTTCTTTTAACTTTACTTTTACGTCCACACCTATCTAATCAATGACTATCAGTGGATTGTCTGGCAAGATTAATAACAAAATAATAATGCCATTTCAGGTATGACGAAGAAAAATAAGCACTAAAAACCACGCAAAAAATACGCAGTGGTATCTCTATATTTCATGACATTATTTCAGACTCAAAATAGAATCTACAGAAGCTCTCTCATCCACGACCTTTTCAGTCTCCTCATGATGTTGTCAGGCAAATTAGTAGTGGCCATTCTTACTATTAGCTTATTTTACGTCCCTGTAAATTGTCATGAAATATTTTGTAGTAAGTCCGTAGCTTTTAAGTTTAAGAGGGAAATTGAGACCAGAACTAGTTGGTTGAACTTCAAAAGAAACAAAGGAACTTACAAATATGATGTTATTTTTTACAGTCTGTGCAAAATTTAATTTATATTTACAAGTATACGATACATAAGATACAGGAAAATTGTATTCCTAAGCAAAAACTGGTGAAGGGATTCGGCAAAATCTATAGTTTTAATCCCTACAATCACTGCAAACAACATGAAAGTTTTTGTAACGGTAGTAGGTATCATGCTAGTAATATGTAAACGAAATACGTAACTAGTTTAAATTAACTTTTTTGAATACATGCAAAAATTGTATAACATAAAAAAACAACACTATTAACATAACTTCCCTTTCACATGATCAATGCCATCCCTATTTCACAGCCATTATATTTTTTAAGTTATTTTTATTAATTTTAATTGTTGAATAGAATTCAATGAAATTGATACTAGGGAATTTCTACACTATTCTCCACATTTCCTTCAACTTTCGGTCAAATCGAACTAGCGGTTTTAAAAATATAGGCGAGTGAATAACAATACGTTTTCAGATTCGAAAGCGGAAGTATTTTCTAAAAGTAGGGGATGGAATTTTCTGAGAGGGATATCTAATTGATTTTCTATTTACCAATCCCCACTAGCGGAACCAAGATTTAATTTTGGAGGTAGAGGCTTCAGCCCAAAAGCTTTTTTTTCATATATATATATATATATATATATATATATATATATATATATATATATATATATATATATATATATATATATATATATGATGATAATTTCTGCAAACGGAATGATCATAGCAAATAGCATATTTCCACATAAAAGAATACACCGATATACAAGAGTGGAACCAGGGCATTTGATTAGGCAAGGATGCAGTCTAAGTCTTCAGTCTAAGACAATGCAATAAAAATAGCAAAACAAAATATGAGATCAGATGAAATGGGATACAGAAATTTATAGTCTGTATTTTTCTCTCTGTTAGCTTATGCAGACGAGTTGGTGGTTTTCGGACGAATGGATGGCAATGGACGAAACCTGCAATTCAACCTCCGCAATCTTCAGGAAGAATTAAATAACATGAATATGCAAATATATGAGGAAAAAACCAAAACTATGAGGATTGGCAGAAAACAAGGAAGAGGAGACAGAATAGTGCACTTGAGTGGAGCTCAATTAGAACTAGTAAAAACTTTAAATACCTCGGTGCCCACATCAATGAACATGGATGAATCTACGGAGAAATAAAGGAAAGAGTGAAGGCTTCAGGAAAGTGCTTCAATGCCATCAAGAAAGGATTCTTGAACAAGAGAGAAGTAAGCAAGGAGACCAAAACGACCGTGTACAAAAATACATTCATCCCGATAATGACTCTTTACGAGTCATGGACCCTCACCACAAAACACATTAGTCAGATTCAGTCCATGGAAATGCGATTTCTGCCCAGGGTCGAAGGAAAAACAAAGAGAGATCGCATAAGGAACTCCACAATACTTAAAAAGCCGTTTTTAAATATTGGTATAGCTAAGGAAATACATTTGCGAGTGCGTAAGCGGAAGTGGTGGATGGAATTTGATGAAATGGATATGGGACCATCTCGACACCAATCAGCATATTCCCTGAAAATTTCATGAAAATCGGATAAACGGTAAGAAGTGATATGCCCGTTACATCGATTTGATGTCAGACAGACGCCGAACCAAATTTGATCCTTGATGTCTAAAATGTAAAACACGAGTGAAAATGCAAAGCTTCTCTAGCTTCGGTAGTGAGGAAGCAATAAATATGTAAATCCATTATTGTGGCTTAATTTATTAAAGATCACCACAGGTGGCGAGCCTGAGGGAGGGGAGGAGATAATGCACTTTTTGCTCCTACAATATTTAATGAAGTGGGCCAACCCCTCCAATATTTACTTAACGCTTAAACGACCAAGCCATTCGAGTGAATACTTTGATATTTCTCACAAGGAGGTAAGACAACAACAAAGTGTTTGGATTTCATGGAGTGGTGTTCTATTGGCTGTTTTTCTGTCCTAATGATGCCTGAATTAGCGGAACATTGACTGGTTTTTCTTTGCCTCCATTTTGAAGACATAAGGTTGTGTGGTTTGGATTTTTAGAATTATAACATAACAATCATGTCAGTAGTTTAGTAATATTGAGAGCAATAATAGTAATTTCTATTGTCAGGTCCTTTGGAACGATGAAGAAGGCATCTGGTTGGACTACGATATTCTAAATGAAAAACCAAGGAATTACTTTTATGTTTCAAACTTTGTACCTTTTTGGACGAATTCCCATACTTTTACTCCAACTCAAGCAGCTACATTAGCTACAAATTACATAAATAAAATAAAATTAGACCAGTACATCGGTGAGAAGAATACTTATTGTTACGTACATTATAAATTCTGGTTAAAAACATTTGCTAATCTCCATATCGTTAGGAGGGACACCTTCATCTCTAGAATTCTCTGGAGAGCAGTGGGACTTCCCAAATGCCTGGCCTCCTCTACAGGCTTTCTTTATACAAGGATTGGACAATATCGGAACGAAAAAAACTTCTGACTTGGCATTACATTATGCCTTGAAGTATGCCCAATCAAATTACAAAGGATTTCAAGACTTTGGCCTTATGTTTGAGAAGGTAATTGATGATGTTTAATGTATTTATATTTCTATTTAATATGTAGTTACTATAGTATTTTATTGAACTTTACTCCTTTGTTTTTAGTATGATGCATTGGTAAAAGGAAGGAGTGGAAGCGGTGGAGAATATGAAGGACAGAGTGGATTTGGATGGACAAATGGTTTCATATTTGAACTCCTCGACAAGTGGGGAATGGAAATGACTTCTTAATTTTTTTTTAAATCATGAGCAGAGATATATACGCCGCTATTCATATCGGTTCTAAGATATAGCTAAAAAAAAATACAGAATAAGTTATTTGTATCCATTCGGCAAACAGAATTAATAGAAACTAATTTAAACATAGTTTATATTGTCTCGTTGGAAAATATAAAATCACACAGCACAATTTCAAATCAATCTTTGTAATTAATAAATCAAATAACAATTTAAAAAAATGTTCAATACCACAATAAAGATTTTTTAAAAGACCTTGTTTTTTATGCTAATTTATAGTATGATATGTTAAAAGACCTCGTTTTTTAACAAGATGAATTTCAAAGCTTTGGAAAAAAATATATAAAGCAGAAAAGAAAAATCTTCGAATAAATATCTTGAAAATTGTTAATTAGATGTTAAATTCAATTAAACCTAATTTCTTCGAATGAATTATTAGTTCCTTTCTATTTTTGAGAACTACTTCACGCAATATCCTCGAACATTTTGTGGATGATAGGTACACAGATGTTAGTATAAATAATGCCAAGACCCAAGGACGTCGGATGTCATCAAAAACAAATTGAAAGAAATAAATAAAAAATTTTAGTCACCCTAAAAAAAAATCTGGTGCGGTGCGCGCATCATACAACTTTCACTTACCACCCTCTTAGCAGAAATAAGTATTTTCAAACAAAGTAATCGAATGAAATGAAAGTAAAAATCATACACTCTATATTTATATATATTTCATTGTGTATATTTTTATTTGTATAAGTTTTGATATTCATATGGCTGTAAACTATACAATTAAATATTAAATAATATTAACAATAGCATTTATGAAAACCTACATATATTTATATAATATTGTCGGAGTCCGTATTATATTGATCTCATGAAACGTATGGAAGTGTGTTCTTATCGGGCCAGCTTGGGTGCTCTTGTATTCCTTTGGTTCTTCAATTACTACTATTCTCCGTCACGATCTCATATTTCTCCTTGATTTATTTATCAAATTCATTCCTTTTTTTATATTTAATCATTTTTGACATTAGAAATATTCGTATCGAGGGAAGATTCTTCAATCTATCTATTCTTCAATCTGTTATAAACTGTCGCGCACCGACTGAAGTCTCATCAGACGAGCAGAATGATTTCTTCTACGAAGCATTGGTAAGCACTTTCAGGAAATGCCCCGAAAATGATAACAAGATCATTCTTGGTGATCTTAAAGCTCAAATTGGTCAAGAAACCATTTATCGTCCAACAACAGGAGCCTTCAGTCTACATGAAAGCACAAATGAGAATGGTCTAAGGCTCATAGCCTTTGCTGCAGCACAAGGTCTAGTCATTGCCAGCACATTTTTTCCTGGCAAGAACATCCACAAAGTCACTTGGAGATGGCCAAATAGGGCAGTCCCGAACCAAATAGACCACATTTTAATTAGCTCACGCCACAGATCTAATTTTATTGGAATTAGAGTTTACGATTCAGATGGAAATCTCCTGACGGAAAAGGGAGAGATCTTAGAGAGGTGGAGGCAGTACTTTGGAAAAGTTCTTCATCAAGGCGATGCAGATGAGGAAGCCAGCATCATCTCCCAGAGCAGCTTTCCACCCGTACACACGATCTTTGTAATACGAGTAGTTCTACTCCGTCACTAACTCGGGAAATTCATCCTCCGTGAGGCCATAGATTCCCATTTTTCTTATCATTTCGACCCTTAGTCCATCAAAGGCTTTGGTCGATCAAAGGTCCATCTTTGTGGTCAGAACTCGTTTCAGATCTGGTAGTCCAATCGGCAATGTGCCCTATAAGTGTCGGCGAGGCCAGCGTGACGTCAATCCAGCTCTCACCCATACCTCCAGAGAACGTAGGTGGGGCGGAGACATCGTTTATGACGACTAGCTGGCCTCTGGAAATAAACTCGTTGTGTTTAGCACCTCTTCTGTCTGTTCGATTGGAACCCCAGACCGTGTTCCATGAGTTGGTGTCTGAGCAAATAATCACATTTCTAGAGTGAACTGTGATAACTTCCATGGCAGATATGTCTTCTTCAATATCTCTTCCGTTAGGAAGATAGGCTGAAACCAGGGTAAAAGATACATTACCCCACCTAACATAACATGCCACACTATCTGCCATAGAGTATTGCCTCAGATCCATCACGTCGAGGTTAGGATTGTTTATCACAATAGCAGCCCTAGGCCTCCTCTCTCCACTGCCTAGAGCTATAACCCTCGACGTGAGACCAAAACCTGTGACCACGTTCCCACCGCCATGATGTCATATCGTTGGGAAAGAGCACGAAGCTCATCTGCCACAACTCTTCGCAGGCCCATGTTTAACTGGAGGATGTTGATCTTAATCATAATATGTCCTTTTAGCCACCTCCTTGCACCACGTTAAGTGCACAGGGCACTCCCGGCTTCCCGACTTGTGCTTCATTTGGCTGGGATGGGTGTTCGCCCGCACACAGTTAATACAAGTCGGGTCATCCATTACCTTTTTCTTTGGGCCATCATTTATCATATGACCACTGTTTGAACACCAAGTACATATAACAGTATCTGCCGTGCATGTGGCCTTTGTGTGGTCATAGCCCTGACACTTTGTGCACCGAGGGGCGTCGAGGTAGTCCTTAAATGTTAAAGACCACCACCCTCCATTCAAACTACCTATGTTTAAAAACTGGAACCGAACCATTGGGTGCACCTCCAGCACCCAATTCTTAGTAAAACCGTTTTTAGCAGTTGAGGAAAAAAGGGGTCGGATGTCGTCATTAATCAATGGTGTTGGGACCGACTTCTCGGGTATTTTTTCCCAAAGAAATTTTGAAAGTTCATCTGCGCCCCAGGAGTGGGGTACACCCCTCACCTCCATCTTAGGCTTTTTCCTCAGCGCTAACTTTGCCTGTAACCCGTTCTCCCGCAGGCCCTGCCATCCTATCACTCTGGTGGCATGAGAGCTGTCCTCTATGCGGACCAACACTGAGCCTGCTTTAGTTGCCCGAACAATAGATGAATTTACACCTATGTCATTAGGTGACGGAAGTCCATTTATGATATCTGCTGGGCTTTTACCCGAACCACTAATTGTAAGATATGTTGGTTTTGTTTTCAGGGTCGGCTTCATAGGCAGTGATTTTACGATATCTGCCATCGTCCTTGGTTTCTCTTTTTTAGGTATGTTTCCAAGCACAGGAGTCTCATCTTTATTTTCTTGATCCTGAATTTCGTCTTTTCTTCTTTGCTGCAATTTAGATTTCCTCTTGCTTCTTTTGCTTTGGACAACTTCGAAGGTTTTGTTTTCCTTCTGCTCTAGATTACAAGAATAAACATTGTTTGCCTCCTTGGAAGTTCCGGCTATGGCTGCAGGCGGATGTTGGATTGGCTTATCTTCCTCCGGTAGCCTTGTTTTCGGTTTTTCCAAAATTTGGCTACTGATGAGTTCAAGTACATATGGAGATTCCAATGTTTGTTTAACCACTTTTTGGACAAGTGTTGTGATTGTATCTTCTTTGTATTGATCTCTAAGTTCCTTGGCTGTATTGTAAGTATCCTCAATAATACCAACTAATTTTCCGATTTTATCATTAATATAATTCCTCGTTGTTATTCATTTTTTTGTCAAAATTCTTGAGGAACGTTTTTAGATTGCTTTGAATGCTTCTTGCTTCATGCAAGAAGCTCATTTTACTCCCTTCTTCCGTTTCCTCCTCGGTGTCAGTCGATCTGTTTCTTGGTCGTTTAGCCGACGACCGATGATCCTTGTTTGTACTTCCTTCGATAGACTCTTCTTCCATTTTAGAACTTTTACTATCCATCATAAAAAAATACGTCGATTATTTGAAATATAATAATATTTCAATATTCCCGAATTGTCTGTAGTATTCTATACTTAAGGCGTTAAACACTTCCTTGATAACTACTTGGTTACCTAACCTACAAAGTTCTTCTTATCACAAAAATCCAATTAAAAACAATAAAGCATAACTGTAAACTAACGAAAAATATAAATAATAACGATAAACACTTAAACTAATAATAGTTTAAATTAAATTAAACTAATAATAGTCTATTTACTTTAGTTTAGGATCTTGTTACTCAGCTTACTTAGTCCATATTTTAATGTACTTACTGTTTATAATTCTAATAAGCCTTTTCACATTGTTTATAAATTATGTCTAAATATTATGTAATTGCCACAATTCTCTATCTTTTTGTATCTTGTCCGTTCTAGCCCTGATGAAGACCTGCTAAGTCATGTCGAAACCTTGGCTTTCAATAAAATAGTTATACCACTATTTAGCCTTTTCATGACCGCAACCCCAGAGTTCTTTTATGTTCTACTGCCTCAAGAAATCTTTCTAGTGTTATGGATATGGAATATGTGATCCACTGTCACTGGAAGCCATCTCTATTCTACCTGACCTTGCACTTGCACAGTATTGGATGCAGTAGTTACTTCTTTCGGAAGGAATAGAAGTGGATGAATCTTATGCTTTATTTTTGAATGAGTGAACCAGTAATAATGCTTATCCTTATAAGAGGAGGTTCACCATGATTAGATCATCATCTACCTCTCTCATTATGCAGTTATAGTACCTCAGTCCATGAGATAGTTACATGAGCTCTTTGCTTCTAGGAATATCTATGTTAAAGTGGCTAGCCCACAACCCTTTTTCATGTATCCATGAGTATGAGTGCTCTTCTGTCCTGTGTAGCGGTGAAGGGGGAAGGAGGAGGGAAGTTGTCTATCAAGACAGATTCTTGTTTTCCTTCTGTGTTTTATAGGCAGTGCAGATCATTTCCGCAATGCCTACAGTAATAAAAATAAAAAACAATTATCATTGGTACTCCTCTTTAGAAAATTATTTTTTTAATTACTTAACATGAATTTTCCTCAAAATCTTCCTGTCTATTTGATGAAATAAAGCAAAAATTACACAAATGTAGCTAGCTATCTTGTATAAATTAGAGATGATGATAACTGATTGTACTAGTAGCTATGTCAGGAATTATAAATAATCCATCATAAATCTAATAGTTGATAAGATACACTCTGATGAGATTGGACTAAAGGATTTCATGGTTTAATGGTTTAGTAGGGTGCAATAAATGAAACAAAGAAGTTCATAAAAAGTTTAATCAAATGGAACAACAATTACAATTATTACCAGGTGGTAGTTCCAGTAGCTGAACCCCAATCAGTTGTCGCTGCTGCTGTAGTTGTTGCACCAGCATCAGCCTAGGAAAACAAATTATGATCATGAAATTAACTAAGCTGATATAAAACATAATATACAAAGTTCTACCATAAATACTGCTACAAAAGTTGAACTTTGTTTACATCCTTGGGTATTATTTAGATAATCCTTACCTCTATCATGTTATTTTCTTTACATGTCAGAATAATAATCCCAATTAGTTTGCATTTTTCTTTTGCTCAGTTAACATGAAGTGGGGTGACAAAGAAAACGAAATAGCTGTGATCGCCTTACACAAAGTTGGAAAATGTAGGTCAAAGATTTTCAACACTTTGAAACCCTTGGGTATCAATGTTCTTATACCGCACCATAAATAGATATAACTAGACCTTATCTGTATGTGAGAGACCTCGACCGTTTGTGTGGGCCGTCCCTTCACTGTGAGAATGGCAAATTTAGTGAGAGCAGTGGCTCCTCGAATCAGAAGAAATCCCATTCGAAAACAACAAATCATGTCTCGGGAAATGGGAATCTCTGTCAGATCAATGTCTCGCTTAGTAAAAAGCGACCTCAAAATGAGTGCATTTCGAAGAATAACAGGACAGAGGCTAACCACTTCCCTAAAAAAAATTACAGTGGATAAATGCAAAGTGCTCCTAGGTCGTTGCCGTTACAACTATGGTCTTCATCGAAAGATTTTGTTTAGCGATGAGAAATTTTTACAATTGAAGAAAAATTGAATTGCCACAATGATCGTGTGTACACACACAGCTCTAAAGAAGCCCAGCAAGAGTGGAAAGAGGTCATCACCCATTCTCAGTGATGGTTTGATGGCACCTTAACGCTCCATTTTTATGAAAAAGGAGTTAAAACAGCCGCCAAAAACTATCAGGACCATATTTTGGAACCTGTTATCAAGCCTCTAAATGATATTACGTTTGTTGGAAGCCATTGGGTTTTCCAGCAGGATTCTGCTCTAGCTAATAATGCCAGGTCAACTCAGCAGTGGCTGCAAAAGAACATTCCATAATTCATCTTTACCTCAGATTGGCCCTCAGGAAGTCCTGATCTCAACCCACTAGATTATCGGCATTGGTATAAACTGGAGAGGATGGTATGCTACAAAGCACACCCTAACTTGGAAAGCCTCAGTTGAGTGCTTTCCTCAAGAAGTGCTGCTATTGATGACTGGCCACAGAGATTAAATCATCAAACGTCAAGGCAAAAGGGGGACATTTTGAGTAATTTTGTTTTTGTTTTACTCTATACAAATATACGTTTTATTTATTAATAAAGCTTTGAAAAAATTAATTTTTCTTTTCAAGTTTATTTATTTTCAGCCATTTTACACCAATTTTCAAAATTTTTTGTCAACTTAATAACTACACATCTGATTATGGCATTTCGGCTCGTTGAGCTATTTTCAAGTTTAAAAAATAAAAATTGGAAGAACTGGAGAAATATTGTTAATTTTTCTGTTGAAATCTGTATATATTTCCATATAAAAATATTTATGACATTACTAGATACAAAGAAATACTAACAGTAAAATAATTAACACATAACCCATTGTGCAAGTGTACTTCAGAACAAAACAGTTAACGATACTAAACTAATCCTACTTTAAATATTTAGAGAAGAAGTTGATTAAGTATTGGCGTCATTAAAAGTACACAAAAATATATTAAATTTATTTTCTTTGTTTCGGCTTAAGTTTCAAGCCTTTATTAGGGCTAAGCAAAGACCAGATAGCAAATAAATAAAGAGGAAATAATTGACAGGTATATGTAAAAATAATTAGACAGGTATAAATAAGAAGTTAAACCTAACAAGATAACTGTTTATCTACCTACATGTACTAGTCTAATTATTTTTGCATATACCTGTCAATTATTCCCCATGTATTCATTTATCAGATTTATGCTTGGCATTGATGAAGGCTGAAACTTAGGCCGCAACGTTGGCACACCTCCGCAATACCCAAAAATATTTTCTTATATGAATCAAATGTCAACAATTTCTTCAATATCTTTAAATATACGTCTATGTACATGTAACGTTATTTTGACATGTTAAAGGTGAATGTCGCAATAAACAGACCAATACTTTTGTAGATCACTATTTCTTTACAATTTTATGATCAAATTATACAATGATTCAAGAGGAAAGAAAATAGATAAAGTTTACCTATCTCTAGATAGAATAGACCCCCTCCCCCATTTACAAGAAGATTCATAAATAAAAAAGTTGTAGGTTATGATAACATGAAGCTATTTACAAAGTTTTAAACTTTTGGTTAGAACGTTTTAAATTAATAATTTGACAAAAAAAGGATTTTTTCCTTCCAGCTATTCCTCATATATACGTTGAGATATCAAGTTTTCTATAAATTGCATATTAAATATATTTAGAAAAAGAAGAATCAGTTAAATTTACTCATCCTCAAGGATAACCACTTCCACTTTGTTTATCCTAGCCATAGTATAAACAGATAATAAATCCAGCGGGATTTTGGTATAGAATAGAATTTGTAACAAGTTTTAAGAAAATCTGAAATTAACAATTTTTTTTCAATTTTTAATAAAAAATTAATCTGCACTACATTTTTTTTATAATTAAATAAAAAGTAACTAGTTGGCCTATGCAAATAATTTGTATAGTATATTGGTTAGTAAACGCATATATAATATAAAAAATAAATATATGCAACATGTGTGACGATAAATTCAAATTATTTTTCCCCATTAATTACAGTAAATATTATTTAAAACAATAAACCAAAGTGAGAATAAATTACAATAGTATATAAGTTAATAGTAGTCTGATTATAATGACTTCCTTTTCGTATTATAGGAAAATTTAAAAACTTTTGAAATTATCATGGGTGTAATCGACCATAAATTGAAAATTATGACACTATCATTGGATTTGATTGAATTAACCAAGATATGACATACAGATAAAAAAAAAAACCTGTGCCATCATAACCCATTGAGGGTCAGAGCGCTTTGTAAAGAGCATAACACTAATTATCAGAGGCACGGGTTAATGCCCCACATTGGGCATTATAACAAATCATAAATATTAATAATGCTATAATGGTGGGTCGGGGGATAAACCTAAAAAAAAAATAATATATATATTAACACTATGCAGAGTAACTTTTTTTTTTAGGGTCTCAAGATTTTAAATAAAATCTGATTTAACAAGCAATTTGTTTTGTTTTTAATCATTAGATCCATAATTTGGTTTTTCTTATAAATTTTTAAGTTGATTATGTCATTCTCGATCTTGTTGTCTTATTGTTTTAGTGCCGGCCCCTAATATATTTCCTCCTCATGTTGCTAAATCACTTACAGTATAACACTTAATGTAGTGGATCCTCGACTTTGTCGCATAATTCGAAATTTGGTACTGCCTTTATTATCACATTTAAGAATTTGAAGTATTACAATGATTGGTCCTCAACCTCATTAGATTTGTAACCTCACTTCTTTCCAAACATATTCCAACAGAGGTAAACCAAATTTTAAAAGAAATTTTCGGATGAATTAAATAGCGGTATCTCCGTTTGAGACTTCTAGTCATATAAATTATGCCGTTTAATAAATGAAAAATGTCTATTTTTGGATAGAATAACTTGTTTAATTATATATTTCAATTAACAACTTCGCAACAAACAAATGAAATTAAGCGTGAAGAGGAATTACCTGAATAGCCCAGTCATCAGTGATCACCGGACCAGCAGCGGCACCAGGGGTTGGGCCATCATCGACCCATGGTTTTGGTTCCCTGGGCTCCTCAGCCCAGCTTTCAGGGACTGGAGCATACTCAGTACTTTCAATTGGTTTGGGAGCAACAGGAGCTGGTTCCTTGGCAACAGCTTCTTCCTTTTCAGCCTAAAACAAATAAAACATTTTAATAAAAAATTGTTATAGAGGACCCCTGAAAAATTTCCAAAAGGGTTGAATCTTTGTAACAGGATTCATATAAATTTAAGATAATTTGTTAGCATTTTAATTTAACATACCGTATATTAATGGTATATGTGATATACAGGACTGGATGGAAAGGAAGTGATTGAATAAGCAGGATTTAAAAGTAGGGAGAGTAAGCATCGGTTTGGTGGGGGAGGGGGCCAGTATATGTATAAATCTGAAGACCGGGAATGGGTATTGCGGGAGTGAACAGAAGATTTAAATTGAAGATGTATGAAGGACAGAGAGAGTGAATGACTTTGGAAGTGGAAGGATGCCAGGAAATACTTTCGGTGGTAGGAAGGATAAATTCACTGTAACTCTTCATAAAAACAGGAAACAGAGGTGTCTCTTGAGGCCCCGAAGATGAATCGTACAAAGCAATTTATCAAGCGTTTTAGTTTTGCCTTGAGATACACAGAGACGCCTCTATATACCGTGCAACACTAGTCAAAGTGGGGAAATATTAAGGTGATCAGGTGTATACGGATTTCAAAAGGAAAAAGATGAGAGGCTATATAAATATTTTAAGGTGGAAAAAGTAGGTCAGGAGATATTGGATACATGGTTTTTCCAGGAAAGGATTTGATCAAAGATTATTCCAAGGTTTTTGATGATAAAGTTTTTGAAGGGATAAAGTTTGATGGGATTATCATGTAGGAACAAGGTTGGAATGTTATAAACAGAATTACCTCATCAGGATCTCTGTAGAAGAATAAATCAACAACAACGTTCCATGGTGTTTCCCGCCCTCTGAACCTGGTAACTTCTCGAGCCAGAAGCCACCACATTAAACCAATAGAATGAACTGACTACAAAAAAAAATATATATATATTGAAAATCAAATTAATACATAACTATATAAAATTTAAATTAAATAAAATCAAACAAACCTTATTATTGCAAGGAATGGCAATATCAACATAACGCAAAGGTGAATCTGTGTTACAAAATGCAATCACAGGGATATTCACATAAGATGCTTCTGTGATAGGTTGATGATCATTATGAGGATCTGTCACTACCAGAAGGCGAGGTTCACGGAAAGCAGTCTAAAAGGATAATAATATTTTAATACTTATTGTAATTAAAGCACTTGATATGAAAGTGTTAATGAAATAAGAAAAATAACCTGAATTTGGTTAGTGAAGGCACCAGGAGTAAAGCGACCAGCAATAGGTGTAGCTCCGGTATGTGTTGCAAACTTAAGGACAGCTCTTTGGCCATAGGCTTTAGATGATATAACAAAAACTTCGCTATGTGGTTCAATAGCTGCAATAGCACGGGCCGCAAGCAGAAGTTTCTCCCAGGTATGCCTTAAGTTGATGATGTGAATACCTGGAAATTTCAGAAATTTTTTAATACGGATCACATTATAAAAAAATGAAATATTTTTACAACAATGAGAAGTTATAACTAAAATTAAACTTAAAACTGTATGTCCAACTCATGACTTTCAGTCCTAAATAAATGAAGTACCCTTAACCCTTTGCCCTTAGTTTGTGTCTTCAGGAAAAGAAGTAAGCTATAGTAGATAGCCTTCAATGGTAAATTTAACATAAAAATAATATTTGAAGAAAGAACAAAGTCTGTAAATTAAGACAGTAAAGCAATATAATTTTTATTGGAAAAAAAAATCTGGTGGGCGCATCACAAGACTTTCACTTGCCACTCTCTTCTTAGCAGGAATAATTATTTTCAGACAAAGGGGAAGTGAAAGTAAAAATTAGACATTGAACCATCTTTGTTCCTTGATGTCCTTGACCTAAAATACGAGTGAACATTTCTGATTCAGAGTACAAAAGTGTTCACAAAAACCATAATTTAAGAAATCATAGGAAAATCAACACCTATGACGGCTTTAGTTCCTGATCTTAAATTAGAAAAATCAAACCTATGACGGCTTTAGTTCCTGATCTTAAATTAGAAAAATCAATAATAAGTACAACCTAAATTAATACATAGACCTATACAATTCTTTAAAAAATCAAAAGAAATTTTACTAAAAAAATCACAAAATATTACACTTCATTACATTCAGTGTAGCATTACATTACAAATTTTGATTACTTGCCTATAAATTTGTAAAACAAAAACAAAAAAAAATTGTCACACATTACTTGATTTGCAAATTTACCCGAATATTCATTTTAAAAGCATTGAGTTTACTTTAAAAAAGGCACATATCCTTCCTTAAAATATAGGAAGTGTTTTTTTTATAATGAACTGTAAAATCAATTCTTATCAAAACTAACACATCATTTTCTCTTGCAAGGTTCAAGTAGCATGAAATTCTAAAAATTGTACATCTGTCCTTGTGAAAGAGGGCGCATGCTCTTCGATTAACCTCTTAAATCTAAAGACTAATATTAGTAAACAACAAACAGCCATATTACCATCAGGTCTCCTTTTGTAAACATATTGTTCCATTTGGAAGTCAACATTTTCACTTCCAATGTGAGTAGTAGCACTCAACATTTTAGTAACATCTTCTTCTTTCAAGCTTAAAATATCTCTGCCTCCAGACATCGTTAATAATTACGTTTGCACAATGGGTAATCTGAAACAATATAATAAATCCAAAAATATATTCTCACACCTTGGAAAACTAAACTATTTTAATGTAATTCTAATAAAATGACTCAATCACCCCAAATAGCCACTTAAGAATAAATTTTAATTTGGAAATACACAAAATGTTCTGTTTTAATCAGCATTAAATACAAATAATTCATAGTAAGGAAAAAAAATCTGTAATAACTAAGCAAATATGAGTAACAGTTTGATAAAAAATAGTTATATCTAATTTTATACATCAGTTTAATTAGATTAAAGAGATCAGCTAATTTACTAATGACAAAGAATAAGTGTCCTACAGAATTTCAGACTTCCAACTTGAGGAGCTAGAAAACGTTAAGCTGTAATCTAAAGTAAAAATGGAAAATAATGCATATTATTTCTAATCAAGCTTTTCCATTCGTAAGCAGGATGGCTACCAAATTGTCAGATTAAAATTCCCTGATTTTTCCCTGTTTAATGAAAGTTTTCCCTGACCAATATGTCAAGAGACACAAATGCTAAAAATATATAGTTTATAACTAATTAATTTATAACTATAACTATATATATAATTTATAACTATAACTTATCATACATGATTGAAAATTGAAAGATTAGAGTAAAAAAAAGTCTCCTCACTCTTTTAAAAAATAAATATAATGCTCAAGAGGAAGCATTTTTTGAACACGATTAGGATTTTTTTTTATTTTAGAAAACTGACCTTAAGTAATTTATTTTTATCGCCTATTTACTAATACTTTAAGCACTTCATTTTCATAAAGTAAGAGTATGTAAAAGTTAATACTTGACACTTTTATCTATAATGAAATAAACTGAGCTTCGGGCTATTCTTATTTTAATGTAAAGCAATTTAGTTTTTTTATTGCCACAAACAGAACAATAATTATCCATACAATACCAACTGTGAGGAGAGATGGCAGAGTAGTTCAGTCAATGAACAATTACTGAAAAACCGTTAAAAGTAAGCTTTTTTAATCGTAAATTCAATTTTTCAACTTGAAATCTACGAGTATGGGGTAACTGACTTTTATTTCAGGTCTTATGACTGTAAATAATATAAATTGTAAGTGTTGGTAGCTTTATATATTTATAAGCTCTCTCTATATATACGCATGCAACCTATGTAAGGTCTCTTCTATCTTCACATGGCCGCCATTCTGTATTCTAGCGGCTTGATATCTTCTCCAGGACGAACAGGTGCTTGCCAGCGAATGAATTGCTTGTGGAACTGTTACCACATGCTTTAAATAAAAATATAATTTGAATAATATAAAGATATCTATCGATCGCCAATATTAACAGTTAAAAATCAGAAGACAACTCAACCGTTGCTGAACTATCTGTAAAATCGAAGTTTTCAACAATACTACTAATCGACAACTGGATATCTGTAAATGAAATTTCTGGCTGCTGCAGAGTTCAAAACTGAATATAAAACAAAAAAACTCCCATAAACGACACCCATTGGCATCATACATAGCCTTGCTTGGAAGTATCACTTCCTGAGACTTTTTCCGTCTCGACCGAGGTCATGATTTTCCAATTGTATTTTTAGTATTAATAATTAATGTGTGAAATTAATGTATGTAACATTTGTAGTTTAAATTTATTTATCTCTCGATCAATTAATGGGAGAACATAAAAACAATTATTAAGTTGGATTAGCGATGTGGTTTTATAGTTTATAACAATATTGAAGGACTTATAATAATCAAGGCTGCAGCTTACATTAAAATTTCTTCGAATTACAATATCGTATATAACAGTTATAACGATGTATCGGCTTTAACGACGAAAACGCCATGTTCGATGATTCAGATGGATTTTATAATGTGATTATGAATGAATATAGCGATTGGATTTACTGACTCGATTTCTTAGTTTTTAGAAAAAATGATCGTATATAGCAACATTTGAACTCCTAAAAACCTACTGGTTTATATCTCACTTATCGAGGATATATTTTATTTCATTCGTTCTAAATAAGAATCACATTTATAGGGCCAATTTCATTCCCAGTCTTAGTGTTAAATTCATATTTTTGTTTAGTAGTTTAATAAGAATAACGAAGAGCAAAAAGTTCTATATATAAGAAAAATTCTATACATGTTGCAGACTGGAGACTAAAGAGTGTAATAATATCTTTACTCAAGAATTCAACATAAATCTTACAATTTCTAAAAATTGCGAATCTAATCGAGGACATGCTAAATCAGTTATATCTAAATAACGACTACCTATCAACTCACGACAAAATCGGTTCTTCTCAATATTCCACAATTAGACAAGGAGCTAACAACAATTTTATTTAACATTAGGACTTATAGCTAGTAAACATTTTAAATTCTAGATAAACCTCATCTGAACACACTTTGATCAGTCAGTTGAAAACTTGCTTTCTATACGAAAATTTAAATTAACGAGACGAAATTTGAAGTCCATTTAATGGAAAAACTGACAGCTGAAATTTTGATGACGTAAAGAATATGTTCCTAAAAGAATACACCTTGACCAACGACGTCGAAGTCATCACATTAGGGCAGTCCGAATGTAGTTGGTCGAAAAAACAATTCAAATAGTCGGTTTCTCTTCGGTTTTTTATGTTTTTTTGGGATACTGATCTGAATTTGACGTTTCTGAACGAAATGTTCCATTGCGTACCGAGATATAAACTTTTTCTTAGGTTTTAGGACATGACTCTGAAACTGTGCATTTTATCGAAATTACTATCATATACAACGTTACAGAAGATAACATTTACTATCAATTTTATGCATAGCTTTTTGATGTAGGGCTAACGGGTGAAGAGCAAGAGAATATTGACTGTTTGCATTTTTCACAACAAAAATCTGTTTTTGTCGGTTTCCCCCAAGACTCATAATCTATGCATTAACGAAGCAATTCGATATAATCAATTTGAAAGAGCATTAAGTTTCATATGTACCTCATACAGAGACGTTAATATGTAAGAGGATTAAACAGCTGTTAAAGCTCAGAGAAAAGTCGTATTTTCTTTGTCTGTCGTTCACAAATTAAGTGTTTTTTATCTTTTCAATGCTTTATTTTAGAATAATTTAACTATTTTATAACAGAAATAGGATGTATTAACATATTACATGGCTTTTATAAATTCTGTTGATATGCATAACAATCATCACAAAATTAAGGGCCAAAATGTATTTAAAAGTCCGAGCGGTCCGACATTTTGCTCATTCGTATATTAAGACTCTACCTAAGCATGAATTATGTGAAGCTGCCAACGTTCTCCTTTAGTTAACCAACGAATAGATGTATACTTACGTATAGTAAATAGTATTGTTATATTTTTCTTTTTTAAAAGCTCTGTTTTAAATTCATTTTGCTTACATTTTATTCATTACCCTTGTTTAATTCCAATATAACGGCCAGGGCGTTATTGACAGTAACAAGTGTATAGATATGGGTTATATAACGATATAAACATGAAGATGGTCCGGTCGTCTATAACAGTTATATATTATAACATCAAAATTTAACAGGTCTCTTAAGGTCGTTATACTAATCCACAATGTATTAATTCGAATTTAAAAAGAATATTATCGTATTTAAAAAAATTCCCTGACTTTAACAATTTTTCCCTGACTTTTCCAGGTTTTGAAAATTCCCTGACTTTTCCAGGTTTTCCCTGTTTTCCAGGTCGGTCGTCACCCTGTACACAGCACATCATAAGTAAAGGGTAAATGAGTATTAAGAGACTTTAATTGGAGTTAAATAAAAATAAATAGTACGAAATTCACTGTTGGGTGACAAACACTTTAAATTCAAAAATAAAGCAAAAATCATAAATAGTGGCTAATATTGGTAAATAACTGAATCTAACAATAATTCTTTTGAAAAATTATTACAGTACAGATAAGAATAATTCTTAAATATTTTTAAAATACAAAAATTCATGGTACAGAGTATATTAACCACAGAAGAAAGTAAATTACAAAACGCATTCAGAACCAACTGACCCACGTGGACCGAAGTCATGAAATGATTATACCTAAGGTTAAAATTGTACTTACAGGAATTGTTTTTAATTGTATGAACTTTAATAAGCTAACGTAACTTTAAGTAGACACAATAAAATAGAAAAATTATATTAAACTTTTAAAAAAATTAACCTTACATCAACAACGCCACTTGGAGTTCCAACGACGGAATGAAAAGGAATGGGGTTGGTTGAGAGAGCGTGAATATCCAGCAGAAGTCGTATTTTTATTGTATGTTCTTGATACCGTAATAAAAAATTGCGTATAAAGTAAATAATCCTGTAGGGTTCTTATAGTTATTTTTAATATGATGGCTTCGACATAAAAATCAGTAAAAGATATAAGTATTTGGAAGTGGACACTATTCGAAAGGCAGCGATCAAGAAACATATTTATTTTGAATTTGAAGATAACCATTTTCTGTGTGATACTAGTATCGTCGGTAAACGTTTGAATGGAAAACGTTTGCTGTTATCTACTTTGTAATTTTGTTATTGCGTAAGAGGTACTGTTGAAACTATTACTTCTATTTGATATTCAGACACTTTCGCCGGTTCCTGTATTATATTTTATTTTACCACTTTTTGAAATGGCTGATAACTATCGTTCTCCTTTTTCTACGAGGTATTCCTCATTTGAAATGAAATACAATTTTAGTGATGAAAAGAAATTTAAAACTTGGAGACAATTGTGGGTATATCTTGCAAAAGCAGAAAAGGTAAGTTACATCCTAAGCTTATTTGTATAAAACGCAATTTCATGTCAATCTAACTTGTTATAGGCAAACAATTTAAAGACTTTTCAACTAGGTATTCTTTTTTTCTTGAAAAAGCTATCTTTTCACTGATGAATTAGTTTAAGAGATATAAAGAATATATAATGTATTATAATACATAATAAAAATTCAAAATGATATAGTTGACAAGGTTTGAGCTTAATGTCTCAGGCTCAAGTTCTCCCTTAAGTTTTGTGCCTATACCTGTGTTTATTTTATTGTAAACTCATCCAGTTTATATTAGATTTATTGGAATCCCTTGTAGCATGTGAATTCAATATAATTCTTATTAAATCAACTAGATTATGTATATTCCCATCATGCTTATCAACATGTTGGTTTTCAATTTTAAGTCATTTATTCTACAACTTTCATTGCTCTTTAAATTCTATTAATAACAGTGCTGTTACCCATTTCCATACCATTAGTGCTTCTCAATATATATCTTTACTTAATTGCATTCAACTTGATAATCTAGATTTGGTTCAAGTAATTGATGCAGTGTTTTCTCTTGGCATTGAAGTTTCTATCATTAATTTTTTCTTACAGATTTTTATTTTGGGGTATAAAAACTGTGTATTTTATATAATAACTGTATATTTTTACTTTAAGATATACTTACATCTTCACTAATGCTAATTTTTCTCTCCGTGATACAGTAGGTTTTTTTAAATTAAATATATAGGTATTATAAAACTTCAAACTAGGGTAAATTTTTAGGATATGTAAATTAAATATAAATTTTCAGTTTTATTTGTAATCCATTAAAATTTATACCATGGTTTGGATATTGTAGAACATGAAACTGATTTCAGAAGTTGGTTTGGGATGTGATCAATAAAGAAAAAATTGAACAAGTAAACTTAATTTTATCTGCTAATGTTTTGAACTAATTTGTAGGCCTTTATAAAGACAACTGGTGAACAGAAATCCTACAACGGCTTTGATTTGTTGTTGGATTTATAATGTTATTGCCTTAATGATGGCCGAAATGTTGGCATACATTAAAATAACTTTCTTATTGTTTTTTTTCTTTAGTGACTATCCTTCAACTAAATACATATAATTTCTTTTATGGGACTGATTTAACCTCTGTGATTAAAATATCCTAGCAAATATTTGTATAAACAATTGAATCTAGTATAACGGTTTACAACCATTGATGAACTTTTGCTGTTATAAGCAAATGACTTATTTGAAGCTTTTACATTAGTATTAAAATTTGCATTTTTTTTCTTATCATTATTATAACTCTATTAAGGTTTTGTTATATTTTTATGAAAGTTATGCTCTTTAAAATTAAGCTACTGAATACATTTACTATGATTTATAATTAATGATTTCTTATCATAGATTGGCGATTAGTTAAAATAGTGGTACAGCATTACATGTCTTGGCCTTCTTTTATAATAATTTATTATAAGTTCTGATAACTTCAGTTACTAATTCATCTTTTATTTTAGAAATGAATAATAATATTTTTGATTGGTTACATTTCTTGTTAGAATACAATTTAGTGTGTGCTAACTCTCACACTGAATTGTATTCATCTATTTTTTTATAAAATAGTTATGCCTATGAGGACTTGATATTTAACATTGAAAAACTATTCTTAATTGTTTGTATGAGTTTTAATTATAGTAATTTATGATTCCTTTCACAAATGTTATATATAATAATTTTTTTGTTATTTAACATTTTCAATTACCAAATTTTTGTTATTCTTTTAATTCTGATGATTAGAAAAGATAAGTGTTCTAACCTCTCAACCTTTTATGAAATAGTTACATAAACATTGACGTAAGAATTAGATAATCTCTTTTATTTATAATCCAAGATTTTTAAAATTAATTTAATTACATCTCCAAAATATTTAAGTTAGGTATAGCCAAACTTTCGTTGAATTAACAAATTACAGTCTGCCATACATATTATTGCCATCACAAAAGATAATACAATATGAACTATAATTATGCTTGTAGCTTCAGTAACATTGTGTATTATTAGAACAATTAGATATATAGCACAACCAGTATATAACACAAATGCTGTCAGAAGAAACAGAAACATCTAAAAAAAAAAAAAAAAAATTAGTGATAGTTCCACTGTTCAATGAAGGTTTATTTCATGGTAACTCCATTTATGAATAATTTATTGAATGTTTGCTTGTTTTATATGTTGTACATAATTTCAAGAAGCATTTGTTTATATATATATATATACTCTTATTTGTTTAAAATTATCACAAAAATATATTAAATATTCACCATTGAATTTAGTAGTTCAGCTTGTTTTAGGATGTTACTTATATTTCACATTTTTCGTAAAAGACTACTTGACTTTTTTTTTTTTTTTAGTCCTCCCCTTTAAGACTATACGGGGTTTTCCCGGGCCAGGAGGTTGCCGGGGATATAAAAGACTCACCCAGCACTGGGACACGAACTCGTGAATATTTTAAATTCATTGTCTGTGCACACATGTTAGCCTGTTTAGCCACCTCCCTCCCCTCCCCCAACGAGAGTTGTATTTTGTTGTATTATATATTTTCAATTGTACTACATTCAATGTAATAATCTTGAGTGAAGATGGGCTTAGGCAAGGAGTTCTCTTATCCCCTACTCTATTTAATATTGCTTTAGAGTATGCAATAAGGGCAATCCGGACATATCCTGGTGGCACAATTTATAACAGAATGACACACCATCTGCCTTATGCTCATGATGTGATAATAGCAACAAATAAAACAGCATTAGCAGGGGCATTTAAAGAATTTGAAACTGCAGCAAAAGAACTATGGCTACAAATAAATAAACAGTTGAACGTTTCACAATTGGCAACCACACCCTAACATTGTGAGCACTAATTACCGAAAATAATGAAATGGTAGAAGAATTGAAAGCAAGGATGGCTGCCGGGAATATGTGCTGTTTTGCAATGTGAAAAATATTACATTATAGATCCCTTTCTTACCGAACAAAGATCAGGATAAATGATAAAAGTCATCAGACCCGTCGCATAATGGTTTTCAGACTTGAGGGATCTCCAAAGCTTCGGAAATAAGACTACTCGCAAGGAAGAGAAGGGTTCTCTTCAGAATGTATGGCCCATGTGCAACAATCTATGTTATGATATGCAAACATGGTCAATAAAGAATTCGCATTAATAAAGAGCTGCACAACATGTATGCGAGGCCGGATTTAGTCTCAATTGTGAGAAGAAACCAGATCAGATGGTTGGGCCATGTGGTTTTTAGCGTCCTGCCTGATTTTTGTGCAGAAATTATGAACGATCATGACATTTTTAAAGGACATTCAAGTTTAGAGCTTAAGTTCGGTGGTAGAATAGCCCCAATAATGTTATCTCTCTAACTACAGGGAACATAGAACCTCCTAAGCTGTTCACGCATCTTACCTTAGATTGTAAACCTGTTCCTATAAAATCTCGACAGACTCTATATTCATTGAGAAAGAAACTCACAGGTTTTAGAAGATGGAATCATCGAAGAAAGCAGGTTACAGGTCAGGTAATAGTGGTTATGTCAGAAAATCATAGAAGAAGAATGGTTGTTGATCTTTCGAAACCATAGGATTTCAATGATCAGTAAAAAGCAAATTAATTTTGACTTAGCTTTATGTCAAGCTTAAAGTATTAGTGTTGCAATCTTCCTTTCTTTTTCACCAATGGATTCTAGCCAACTGCGGTGTTACATTTTTCACTGAATCACTTTACTATTCTCAGGATACAATAAAGCATTCTACATTCTCTTATGAGAAAGTTCAGAAATATTCTGAATTCAGTTGTTTCACCATTAGTGAATGGCTACATTTTGTTCATTAGGGCTGTCAGATTTGTAATATTTCTTTTGAATGATTTCGAACTGATTTTGATAACCTTTGGTGCTCATAAATCTAATAGGCCTGTTTCAAAAACTAAAAGTTACATGTCAGTAAATTATCTCTAATGCTGCTCCTTCTGGATTAAATGAAGGTTCCAGGTTCAATGCATCTAAGACATTTCTTCGTTCTCATTATTATTTGCTTTATTTTCAAACTTTTTATATCCTTATCATTTATTATTTTACCTTAGGGCATGCAAAATTCCTCTAAATTAAAATACTGTTTAAGTAAAAAGACTTAACTTAAACACTTATTTAAATTCTCCAAAAGAGTTTTTATTCTATTGGTTAATAATATTACCGGGGTATAATCCATAGGGTCTCCTGAAATTTGGCTTATTATATCTATCACAAAGATAATTGTAAATGCTCCATTAGTTATAAAGATGATAATCGATTCTGCTTTATGATTATTTTCATCATGTGGACCAGTATTTTTGAAAGTTTCTGTCGCTCTAAAGGACCATGTTACTAGCAGAGCTATTGCTATAATCTGTAATTAAAAGTATTGCTAAAGATTTTGTTTCCAATGATTTTTCATTTAAAATTACCATGTTTTCAAAAGATCAACGTACCGCTTCAACAATTCTTGGTATTTTATAGTAAGGAATGAATTCAGTTTTATCTACTGTAAACATAGTAATAACAACACATTGAAAAAAAAGTTTTATTGATATAAAAGCACAAATGGTAATTATAATTTATTTGTTATAATACACAACATATGTTTTAAAGTATACTGATTTAACCACTAATTTAATATTGAATTTGTTTACATTAATATCTATTCAATAATTAATTCATGTTCTATTGTTACAAGTATTGCTTTTATTTTTTATAAACCTACAGAAAACTGGTTTAAATTAAAAATAAATAAATAATTTTAAAAATACCAACAATTATTTTCATTAATTAACTTTATAAAGTGTTCACTAAAGCATTTCAAACAGCTATAATGTGAAATATTGTTTGGTCTCTCAAACAATGTTTTATATAAGTTACATTAATTTGCTGTAATTAGTTGTAAAACCTTAAATCATGGGTCATA